TGCGGAAGACTTCAGAGCTGCACTCAAGTCGATCGGCATCAAGGGAGCGGCTCAGCGTGGTCTCCTGTCCACCCTTGCCGGTCTGCTAAAGCTTGGTAATGCCACTGGCTTTCTGGTTGACCAGGAAGATCTTGAGGAAGCATGTGATGAAGTGGGTGGTCTGCTCGGGTTGGATCCGGAAGTTCTGCTGCACAGTTGCTCCACTGATGATCGCGAGGTGCTGATTTCGGGGATTTACGAGGCACTGGTCGACTGGGTGATCGAAAAGGCCAACGAGGCCATTTCCAGCGAGCTTCAAGCGATCCTCGACAACGACCCCAGCACCAGTGGTGGCTCTGGTCCTGGCGGCCAGTGGACTGATGATGACACGGTCAGCATTTCTGTGGTGGATATTCCCAGACCTGCTCTAGGAAAAGCTGTGGCAGTTCGCAACGTGTTCGATGACAATACTGGTATCAACGCGGAAATGAAGGAGGATGGCGTCACGGTTCCTCCTGTAGGACATGCTATTGCAAACGATGTTTCCTCTGCGGTAGCCCAGGTTGAGGCGGACCTCGGAATCACCACGGGTTCTGCTTGGCACGACCGCGAGTATGAACTCGGCAAGCGACAAGAAGTGCTGGAGAAGGTTGGGCTGGAAGTTGACATGGACTCGTTCCTCCGAAAACTTTTGCTCCCTGTTGAATCCGAAGGTATTACTGTTGGGAAGCGGGGCCGTTTTGATCTTCCCACCACGCTGGGAAGTAGCAGAGTCTGGCACCATATCTCCGTCCACCCGACTGATGATCTGCCCGAGACACTCAACACCTTCTCGCCGACGGCCGCCTGGTCAGCCGGAGTCGTGTCCCGGCAATTACGGGAATGGAGACTTGCTGAATGGGCCAACCGACGCCTCAGGCAGATTGACTTTACGGCCGACTTCGACATGGATGAGTTCGTCGGCCGTTATTGCCGTCTCGGATGCGCTGAAGGTCGGGATGGTGTTGAGAGCTGGTTGATGGAGAGAGGCTGGACCAACGGAGATGCCTTCGTGGGTCACCAGCGAATCTGGATGAGAGAAAGTGCATGGTGGGAAGCTGAAACAATGCTTGACATGAAACCAGACGAGCCCGCGACGGCCAACCCTTTCCTGTACGGCAACACCATGCTCGATGCTGGGATGCCCCATTATGCGGGCACTCCTATGGCAGAATCCACCAGCCTTCTGGGCAGTCGAGATGACCTTCTCAACCACCGCCAGAGCACGTTGGCACCCAGCTTCCATGGAGGCGCCAAATCAATCGCTCCAAGTGTCCCCCAGACTCTAAACATGGGCGGCGATTATGGTCTCGGCTCGAAGGGTGATACTAGGAAGTGGGACAATCCGTATTCTGACGAATACGCCCATTATAACAACGGCGAGCTCGATCCTGAAGTCGGCGACCCCAAACACATTGAAAAGAAGCCCATCACTCAAGGCCGACGCATCTGGGTCGGCTTTGTCTGGGCATTGACTTTCTGGATTCCATCGTTTGCTCTGCGCTGGTTCGGCCGGATGAAGCGTCCCGATGTCCGGATGGCCTGGCGCGAGAAGCTCGTTCTTATGCTTATCATTCTGCTGTTCAACGGTGTGGTTTGCTTTTACATTATTGCCTTTGGTGATCTGCTCTGCCCGAACAAGGACAAAGCTTGGAATGAGAAGCAACTTAGTTGGCATGCTCTCGACAACGATTTCTATGTCAGTATTCACGGAAACGTCTACGACATAACCAAGTTCTGGAGACTTCAGCACAGTGATTCTTCGATTGAAACGACAACGAGCAACATGAAGCCATTCGCGGGTGAGATCCTGGATCAGTATTTCACCCCTCCGTTGACTCGCTTCTGCTCGCCATACGTGACGGAGCAGTCGGTCACTCTGCAGTTTAACAACACCAATGCCCTCGAGTATCCCAATGCAGAGCACTACTGTGGATCTTATCACACCCCCAGTACCACCACCAAGCTGCACAACATTACTTGGTATGAGGACATCTTTTTGCCCAAGATCAAGACCTATTACAAGGGTCCCCTGGTTTGGTCGAAGAGCACCGTACAAAAACAAGCACAGGATAGTTCACGGTATTGGGTCATCGTTCACGATAAAATCTATGACCTCACGGACTACTTCTATACCGCCGAATTGTTCGATAATGACGACACTTACGCCTTCCTACCGTCGAGCGTAACCGACTTGTTCAAGAATTATGCGGGCGAGGATGTTACCGACAAATGGCAGAACACAACAGACTTCCAGCAGTCACAGACGTGTCTTGACTATGTCTTCTATAAAGGCAAAGTGGATTTCCGTGACAGCCCCCGCTGTACGGTTAACAACTGGATTCTTCTCTCGTTCACGGTTCTCATCTGCGCTGTTATCCTCGTTAAGTTTGTTAGTGCCCTTCAACTTGGCTCCAAGCGCCGTCCTGCACCACAGGATAAGTTCGTTATCTGCCATGTGCCGGCGTACACAGAAGGTGAGGATGCACTGCGTAAAGGTCTCGACTCCCTCACGGCTCTTCAGTACGACAACAAGAGGAAGCTCATCTTTGTCATTTGCGACGGTATGATTGTTGGTGGCGGAAATGATCGTCCTACGCCTAAGATTGTTCTCGATATTCTGGGAGTCGATCCCAAGGTTGATCCCCCGGCGTTGCCGTGCAAGGCCATTGGCCAGGGTAGCGAGCAGCTGAACTACGGCAAAGTGTATTCTGGTCTTTACGAGTATGAGGGTAACGTGGTCCCGTATATTGTCGTTGTCAAGGTCGGCAAGGAGTCGGAGCAGAGTCGGCCCAAACCTGGAAACAGGGGTAAGCGTGACTCACAGATCATGATGATGCAGTTCCTCAATCGGGTACACCATCGTTCACCTATGTCGCCGCTGGAGCTGGAGATCTTCCACCAAATCAACAATGTCATCGGTGTTGACCCTGAGCTCTACGAATACTGTCTGATGGTGGACGCCGATACCAGTGTCCGAGAAGATTCACTCAACCGTCTGGTTGCCGCTTGTGCCAACGATGCACGCATTGCTGGTATTTGTGGTGAGACCAGTCTGCAAAATGAAGAGCGAAGTTGGTGGACGATGATTCAGGTGTATGAGTACTATATTTCGCATCACCTGGCCAAGGCGTTCGAGTCGCTTTTCGGTAGTGTCACATGTCTTCCCGGATGGTAAGTTGAATCAATCCTTCGACAAGTTCATTGACTAACAGGAACAGTTTCTGCATGTACCGTCTGCGGACGGCCGACAAGGGCAAGCCTCTGATCATCTCTGACAAGGTTATTGAGGAGTATGCAGACAATGATGTTGATACTCTTCATAAAAAGAACCTCCTGTCGCTTGGTGAGGATCGTTTCCTGACTACGCTTATGACGAAGCACTTCCCGGAGATGTCCTACAAGTTCATTCCGGATGCGTACGCCAGTACGGCCGCGCCAGAGACCTGGTCGGTCTTGCTGTCGCAGCGTCGACGTTGGATCAACTCAACCGTGCACAACCTGGTTGAAGTGGCCATGCTGAAAGATATGTGCGGATTCTGCTTGTTCAGTATGCGATTCGTCGTGTTGGTTGATCTTCTCGGAACGGTCATCCTGCCTGCGACTTGTGTCTACCTGGGCTACCTGATCTACCGCGTTGCCAGTCATACCGGTCCCTTCCCTATGATTTCGATTGTCATCCTGGCTGGTGTGTATGGTCTCCAGGCGATCATCTTCCTTCTGAAACGGCAGTGGCAGCACATTGGCTGGATGATCATCTACATTTTAGCCTATCCTATCTACAACTTCATTCTCCCGCTCTATTCGTTCTGGAAACAGGACGACTTCAGTTGGGGTAGCACGCGTATTGTCATTGGAGAACAGGGCAACAAGCGCGTGGTGGCAGTGGACGACGAGGGCTTCGACCCGCGCAGTGTGCCGCTACAGCGCTGGGATGACTACGCGCTGGCCAACAACCTGCCGGGACGGCGCGGTGACTTTGGTATGAGCCAGGAGAAGATGTACAGTGGCCGTTATGATGACATGGCGCTGGAGATGGATGACATGCACTCGAACTATTCCTCGGTGAAGCCGGCGTCGACGATCCTGACTGGGTTCCCGCATCACCAGGGCCGCCACGGCAGCCCGTACATGCCCCCGCAATCTCCAGCACCGTTTGCCAACACCCCGGGTAACCGCAACTCGCACATGTCGAGTCTTACGCGATACACGGATCAGCCGTTTGCCAGTGGACATATGGCGTCACGGTCGGTGGGCAATCTCAGTGTGCCGGATGGATTGACGAACCGCCACAGCGTGGGTCTGATGCAAAGCACGGAGAACCTGCTCGGGCGGCCCAACTCGCGCAGTCCTGTAGGTGGGATATCGCGACCTGTGAGTGCGTTTGACTTCCGGGGAAGCGGCGGGCCCGACGAGGGGTCGATCACCGAGGCGATCCGCGCCTGTCTGGCGGAGGTAGATCTGGACACGGTGACGAAGAAGCAGGGTGAGTTATGTTCCACTGAGGTGAAAGGATAAAATGCTAACAAACCAAAACAGTGCGCGCATTAGTTGAGCAGCGACTACAAACGACGTTGATAGGCGACAAGCGGGCGTTCCTCGACCGACAAATTGACCACGAGCTGGCCAATATGTAAAAAAAGTCGACGTGCGGAAGAGACGGGATGTAATGGATGTAATTGAATTTGTATTCCAGTGTATACGCGAGCATACATAGCTATCATTTGGCAGTATATGAATTTCGGGCGGGCGTTAGCGTGGGCACCATTCATTGATGTGTAAAAATTGAATATGCATTATCAGCGTTATGTATACAATGTTAATTTGTTAGCATTTGTTGATGACAGACAGACAGATAGACAGATAAATAGATGCATTAGCGCCGTACGTACATGTTGCATGGAACAATTCCAGAGAAGGACACCGGAGCTAAGTAATCCTCTTCCGCACCAAAAGAACCATTCATAAGTAACCTTCCCCTTCCTTAACCCATGGGACCGACCCCCACAAACCCACCCACCCCTCATCCATCCATCCATTCATTCATTCATTCAACCCGCCCTCTTATCTATTTATCTATCTATCTACTATCTATCTATCAGATAACCATAACCATCTCCACATCAACAACCTGCCCCCCCTCCTCAACCACAAAACACCCTCTTTAAATCATAAAAAATGCCCCCCACCCCCGAGAAAAGCAAAGAAACCCTAGAAGCCAAATCAGCCTTCAGCGCGACGCTCCTCAACATCGGCAGCACACATGCCAGCCCGCTAGTGGAGCGCGCACACACCATCACAGAGAATGCCGCAGTGCTGGACAAGCAGCAAGCGGAGCTGGAAGCGCACACGGCTGCGCTGGCGAAGCAGAATGAAAGCTGGGATAAGTTGGCGGGGGAGGCGCGGGACGGATTGAAGGAGATCGGGGACGTGCAGAATTGGGCCGAGGTGGTGGAGAGGGAGTTGTTGGTGTTGGAGGAGATGATGGGGTATGTGGAGAGTAAGGGAGATCATGATCATGATGGTGGGGAGGGGGAGGGGGATGGGATGAATGGGGGTATTGGTGATGATAGGAATGGGGTGGGGAAGGGGAAGGGGATTAGTAGTGATACTGTTGATGGTGGTGATGATGGTGGTACTACTAGTGGTAGTAGTAGTGAAAGTAGGAGTGGGAGTGGATCATCATCGTGGTTCAAGTGGTGGTAGAAGGAACTCCTCATGTGTATAGGACAGATATTTACTTGGTGACTACTATTGAAGTTAGGACAAGGGAAATCTTCCATTGCCCACAGAAATACTTTATACAGCCTTTAATACCCTTCAAGAAAGGCAAAAGATATACTGCCCATTTGAAAGGAGTATCAAGACAAGATCTCTTATCAGCATTACTACTATTTTCCGCGATATTACTATAGGAGACATGCTAGAATCATAGGATCGAAGAAATAGTAGATACACACACATCTCTACCATTAACGTCCATACCCATTTAGAAAACGAAGAGAATTCACATCTATTTATCCAGAAGCTCCAATAAAACACCCCAATGACCCAAACCTCTATCTCATGATCAACTCGATCGAACGAGGTATACTTCTCCACCCCATCCAAAGCGGTCAAAAAACATCCAGAATGCTGACTCAGTTTTTCGGGGCTGTATAAGACAGATATCCGTCTATATCCGCTTATATCCGTGTTTTTCGATGCGAGGTTCGCTAGGTTCTGCCGGTTTTGGCGGTCAGAAGGGCGGGAGGGGTCGGCAGTAAGTAAATGCTTGATGCTTTGGGTTCTGATGTACCGGGGTTATTAAGGCAGACCATCTGTCGATGGAAAGTCTTTCATATCAAGTTGTTTTAACATGGCGTTTTGAATATTGGAAGACATTTGGAGTTATATTTGCTTCTCAATATGGCGGTAGATGTACAAGATTTTCAGACTAAGAAAGGGAACTCAATCCTTGTATCATTATACTATATTCTTATCCACTTACTCCATGAACTAGGTCTAACAACGCTCTACCTGACATCCTCATTGATCTGCCTCAACATAAGAAGGGAAAGAAAAAAAAATTGATCAAAGAGGAATCACTCCACGGTCCAGATCCGCTATAGCCGAGCAGTATCGACCCAACAAATCCTCAATGTCTTCCAAACTTCCCAGTCGACTGGAGATAATAATGCTGACCTTCAATTGCCCCTGATCCTGCAGAGGGAACGTCGACACCGATAACAATGGCATGCCGCCTATTATACGATATCCCAAAGCACAGTCATGACCGTGGAATTTGAAACTTGCGCGCATGGCGGCGCCGTTCTGATGCGCTTGAACACTGCAGAAGGATGCATTCGCAGGCCACGACGTCGAGTGCTCGCGAATTGCCTCAAAGTCTACTCCAGCATATGGCAAGGCTCGTGTGTATTGATCTTGCACGTGATGCAAAAGATCGAGGACCGCGTTTTCGGAAGGCAGGCGAATGATGATTCGAAGTGGGGAGATAGTCGTGCAAGGCCCAGAAATAGCATGGATGCCCTCAATGGGCGTGTCGCGCCCGCTTAGGACGTGGCCGAATACAACATCCCGCTGTCTGGTGACTTGAGCTAGAACTACGGCCCAGGCGGCCTTCACGAGGGATGATATGGTGATTCCACGGGGTGGTGTGGGAAGAGGAATGGTTCTGTTGACCTCGAGGGGCAGATTGCTGTCTGATCCTGTGAGACTGAGGGCAGTCATTGTACTGTTCTGCAGATACTGCTTCCAGAACTCGTATGTGTGCGGATTCGCCTGCTTTTGGCGGTGCCGCAAGTACAGCGCAAATGAGGGAGGAGGGGCCTCGTCGAGTCCTCCTCTCTCATATGCCGAAATAAGGTCCTGGATTATCAGAGTCTGATTTTCTCCGTCGTGTTGGGCATGGCTGCAGCGTATGAGTAGGACTGAATTCGACGGAGCTTTCGTTATGAGCAAAGCCTGGAAGTAGGGTGTCCCTCCCGAAACTCCGGCTGAGGAGTTACTCAAGCAAATGCGATCAACATATGCGTCAAGCTCCTCATCACACCGGATCTGTATGAGTTGAAACTGGAGACGCCGAAAGAGAACCTGCAAGTATCCGCCGCGATATGGCAGAAATACAGAGCGAAACAAGGGGTGCCGATCTACCAAAACATGGCACGCCTTCTCTAGGCGTGCAGAGTCGATCTCCATCGGCAGAAGAAGCTGAAACCACCGAATCTCGGATTGTTTCAGGAAATGACGTTGAAACTCTGTGGTAGGAAGAATGTCTTCTATATCCTCGACCTCTAAACCTGGACAGGCTGGAGCTAGTTCGCGGACAGCAAAGGCTCCAAGATCTTCAGGCTTGATATTGAGAAGCGACCCGGGATAGTACGGCTCCATCTCCGTTAGATTTGCATATTCCTGCGCACCGTGGGCCTGAGCTTCTAGCACTGGCCACGCAAAGATATCGGACACACCCAGTGTCAGCCCTTCTCTCCTTAACAAGCTAATAATTCTCATGGCTTGGATGGAGTCACCGCCCAGTTCGAAAAAGTCGTCTTGGGTTCCAATCCTATCCACAGAGATGTTCAGAACTGTGGCCCAGAGCTGCTGGAATACGCGCTCCCGCGCTGACCGTGGAGGATGCAAGGTGCTTGATAGGAAACCTTCCGAACTCGCCGACAAGGCTTGGATCTGATCGTTAGAAAGGCGGGAGGCTTGGTCACGAAGATGTTGTCGGTCCAACTTATCGCTTCTTGTTCGTGGCACGTACGCGAGACGTAAGAATAGGGTAGGAACCATATACGCGGGCAATAGAGATTTCAGTTGTGCGGTCGCTGCCTGGACGTGCGCTCGAAACGATGTGCAGGTCTTCAGAAACAAGCTGCAAGCGTTACAAGCGTCGCCAGGATTATCAGCATACTCACCACGATCAGACGGTATCTGGGCAATGAACGCGATCATTGTAGGAATCCCCTCACGTAGAACGATGTCGGTGATGATATCCGCTGCCTCTCTGAAGCACTGTCGTACGTGATGTTCGACGAGCGATAGCTCAATGCGCTGACCGCGCAATTTGATTTGTGTGTCTTTTCGACCCACGAATCGTATCCATCCGTTATCGGTATACTGTACTAAATCGCCGGAGCGATAGAGCCGACCTGGCTGTTCTTTCCCCCGAAATCTAATCAACCAATGCGGCGGACTTATATATGCCGCAGCCGTTCGTGCTGTGTCATGCAGATAGCCACGAGTGACAATCGGCCCTTCAATCACCAACTCTCCCACAGCACCTATGGGTGCAAGACGAGACACGTCCGATGGTACAGTAACCCATCCAACACCTCCGGTCACGGGCCCTATCATGCCAGCGGCCCAAGAGCTGGCATCGATAGTGCCAGCGGCAGCACAGACAGTTGCCTCTGCAGGTCCGTAACCAGTGATCAATCTGCAATGTGGCGACCAGACGTCGACGATATCTTGAGTCACTACCTCTCCCGCCAAGATAATTGTTTCAAGCTCTGGAACTTGCTCAGGCTGGAGCAGTCGATTGATGATTGATGGCGTGAAGGTGGCATGATTAACATGCGCCTCGCACATAAACCCAGCCAAATTGCCGACACGGTCTGATTCGGAAGGAATGCAGACACAGCCCCCGTTGGCTAACACAGAGAACACTTCGTAGATACTAGCATCAAAGGCGTACGAGGCAAAATGTATAGCGCGGGTCGATGAGCTGATGCCCAACGGCAGGCTATGATCTCGGATGCTTGTACAGAGATTCACATGCTCCATGATGGTTCCTTTGGGCTCACCCGTACTGCCAGACGTGAACATGACAAATGCAGCATCGTGGGAGGAGGGCTCTGCCCAAGTTTTGGTGGTCGCGTGTGCTGCCAGCCCCTGTAAGGATAGAGTTATCACCTCGGCACCACAGTCTGCATGGATAAGATAGCGGGTTTGGGAAGATGTCAAAACCAATTTAGCCTTTGTCCAGCGAACAATGGTCTGGATATGACTTGGGGGATGACCTGGATCTAAGGGCACGCACGTGCCGCCAGCTCGCAGAACAGCTAACATGGTGACCACAGCCCATTTGGACTTCTCCAAGCAGAGCGGCACCAAAGCGCCCCGATGCACACCAAGAAGGCACAACTGAGTAGCTAGCTGGTCCGAGTGAGCGAGCAGCTCTGCATACGTGAGAGTGCCATCCCATGCACAGATGGCCGCTGAATTTGGGGTAGCACTGGCGTGGGCAAGCACGAGATCGTGCAGACAAACATCAAAAGATGATGGGAGTTCGCGATTCCAGATTGATAGTTCCTGCTTGTCGTCGGGACTGAGAATGTCAAGCTGGTTCAGCGGGGCTTGCAAGCTCTTGGGCAGCTGTTGAAGTAGGTGGGAGAATTGCCCTATGGTCCTCCTCACCATCGTAGACTGCACAACTTGCGGATCATAGTTCACGGTCATTTGTATGGAAGATGCATCGACGTCAGTCAAATGGCAGACAACCACAAAGGCATACTCGGCAAAGGCGCCATAGTCCGCAGAGCCAGGACACAATTCTCCGAAGAGACTAGAAGAGGCGGTCTTCCCCGGAGAAGGAGCCTGGATAGTCAAGTGGGATTGAAATTGGCACGCGCGCGTGGCCTCGGGACTTATGTTTCGAATATTCTGTAGCCCGAACTGCTGAAATGGAATTCTATCTGCCGCTTGTCCTTGGATGGCAAGCAAAGCGGACTCCACCGTGTCACAGTCAAGATCTAATCGAATACGCAGCGGGAAGCTGGTGAAGGTGGGCCCAGTCATATCCTCAATGCCCATCACCGGTGCACTACGCCCGTTCTGAGTGACCCCAAAAACCAGGTCATTAGAGTCGGTCTGGTAGGACATGACCAAGGCCCAGGCCAAGTGGATGAACGTTGTAGTGGTATATTCTGAGCCACTGCCGCAAAAGCCGGTGATAGTGTGATGGAAGGAGGCATCTGCCACGGGCGTGTGGCGTGTTGAGGGCAGTGGAGGCCAGACCGGGGCGGACAGGCCGGAAAATTCATTGCGCCAATATTTGGCTGCCCTGTTGGATTGACGCTGGACATAATCAATGAATTGATTGAACGGAGGGGGCGACGGCATGCTCTTAGGACTTTGGTAGTACGTCTCGACTTGCTTCCACAGGGATGGGAGGGACCACCCGTCATACATGGCATGATGCATGGTCAGACAAAAGTGCACGGCAGCAGATTCGCAAGGCCAGATGAAGGAGAGGTCGACTAAAGCATCTCCAAGCCCCATTGGAGTAGATTGAATATGTTCATCGTACGCCGCCTGACTGTTGAACGTGTGGAAACGAGGCGACCCGCGAAGGACCACCTGGCACGTTCCAGGGTGACGATCTGATTGTATCATGCGCGTCCGAAGGATGGGATTGACCGCAGCAATGGCAAGCCAGGACCTTTGGAGCTTGCCGAGGTCAACCTGGTCATCTAGCTGGTACCGAAAAGTCACTTTGTAGCGGTTGGTGGACTTCTTAGTGGACAACGCAATGAGGCCTTCTTGCAGAGGTGTGGAGGGGTATATATCCTCGATTTGACGAGAAGATACACCACAGCGCTTCGCTGCAATGCTTATAAGGTCGCCCAGATCTCCAACCAACGCAAACGGTGCCAGCTCCGACGATGCCACTGCTTCATCAGGGTTTGAACTCATGGCCCGTGCCAAGTCGCGAAGCCTGGGGCTGTGAAATACATTGGCTATGGTGATACTGAAACCCCTCTGCCGAGCCGCGGAGATCAGACTCATGGCGCGGAGCGAGTCTCCTCCCAAGCGGAAGAAGTTGTCCTCTACTCCAATCGTGCTCCTGGGGCGGCCCAGTACATCAGCCCAGATCTGCTGGAGGTGTTGTTCCTCCGGTGTGGACGGCATGATGCGCGCAGCTACCGGAGCAGAGTAGGCCTCCAAGTCCACGAGGGACATTGCGCCGACAGCATCATGAAGTTGCTGACGGTCCAGCTTGCCACTGGTGGTCAGAGGTACTCGCTGCAATGGCAAATATAAGCTTGGCACCATATATCCAGGCATGCGCATATGAAGCTGCGCCTTGGAAGCTTGGACACTTAAGCGGAAGGGATCAGTGGCCGATGCAATTAGCGAGTTCTCGTGATTATCAGCTGAGGTAGAGATGTCTGGTAGATGAATCAATGCCACTAAGAGTTTGGTATCATTGCTTGTGGTAGCTACCTCTGCAACGATGTCCTTTGCTTGACCAAATACTTGGCGAAGATGATGTTCCACCTCGGCCAACTCAAACCGCTGCCCACGTAGCTTAACCTGACGATCCTTGCGGGCAACGTATTGCAGCGTACCATCCGCCCTATATCGAGCCGCATCTCCAGTTCTATATATCCGACTGGATTTTCCGTCGAGCCAGGGTCGGAGACCATTCAGGAACGCCGCCTGAGTGGTGCTAGGATCGTCCAGGTAGCCTCGGGCGATGTTGGGGCCTTCAACCACCAGCTCGCCCACGGCACCGATAGGAGCAAGAAGGTCCGGATTACCAGGATCGATGATCCACATGCGACAACCAAACGGTCGTCCCAGATTGCGTGGCTCGGAACCAGGGTGCAGTGTGTCCACTGTGCCAGAACACCACACAGCACATTCCGTAGGGCCGTATGCAAGAATCAGATTCAACATGGGGGACCATGTCTGCACCTCCTTGCTGCTTACAGCTTCGCCCCCCACAACTAGGGTGTGTAACGTTGGGAATGCAGCCGGTGTCAAAGCACGCGCCACTGACGGAGTCAGGCAGGCCCAATTTGCCCGCAAGTCGTATGTGGCTCGGGACAATGCCTGTTGACGCTGTTCTTCTGAGGGAATGCATATGCATCCGCCCTGGACCAAAGTTGTGAGCATTTCACCAATTGAACCATCGAAGGCGAATGACGCAAATTGCAACACGCGGGACTGAGGGCCGATCTGCAACGTTCCAGCCTGACTGACGGCAGAGGTGGCAAAGGCACGATGTTGGATGATCACTCCTTTTGGCTGCCCCGTTGATCCGGAGGTGAAAATACCATATAGTGCATTGTCTGGGGTCAGCTCCAAGTCCATCTCTTTCCCCCCATATACATCACCCCTACTGCCTTCCGCTCCCCCAACTTCTTCACCGAAGGTTACCACCCGGCTTACCAAATGGGCCGCTATTTCCTGACCTTGAGGGGGTGCTAATATCACAGTCGCCCGAGCCTTTATACAGATGGCACGTAGCCGGGCCAGTGGGTGGCTTGGGTCTAAGAGAATGAAGGCGCCGCCGGCTCGAATCACGGCTGTGATTGCCACGGTGACCCAGCGGGACTTGATGGCGTAGATTGGAACGAAGACCGCAGGGCCAACACCACAACAGTCATGGAGTTGACGGCTTAACCAGGCTGATTGAGCCTCTAGTTCTGTGTAGGTGAAACTGCCATCCCATGCGCAGACGGCTGGAGAGTCGGGCCGTGCGCGGCAGTTGTCGAGGATCATATCGCCAACGCATCGCTCTACAGCCTGCGGGACCTGCTCGTTCCACCTTCGTATAGCCTGAAGAGAGCTTCCGCCTAGCAGAGGAACTGACCGAACTGGTTGGTCGCTGAAATCCACGATACCCTGCACCGCTTGCTCAAAAGCATCAAGGACAAATGCGGCCTGATCATGGGTGAGCAGTTCACGCCTAAAGTCCATGATTACCCCGACTTCCTCCTGGGCAATATTGATACGGACCATTAAATCGTACTATATGAGAACCATATTTCCATCAGCTTGCTTGTGTTCTATACAAAGAATGAATAAAGAATACAGAATGAACTCATACCTCTGTGGAATCATCCCCATTTTGTTCGTCGAGTGTCAGTGAAGAGTGTGGAAGTGCAAGTCGTGACATGACTCTTTGGACGGACATAATAGAGTTGAAAAGGGGACCCTGATGCTGACGCATGACTTCGGCCAGCGGCCAATATTGAAAGTCCAGGGATTGAGCGAAGTCACTTTGGGTTTTGCGCAGCATTTCAAGAGTGCTGGCGTCATTTCTACGGAAGTCCATCCGCCAGATAAGCGTATTGATAAAAGGCCCTACTGCATCCTCAATGCCACTGATGGGCATGTCGCGGCCGGCCGCCACATATCCGTAGCATACGTTGTCAGTGCGCGCATATGCACGGAGGACCAGCCCCCAGGCCACTTCGAAGACCGAAGCCAATGTGAGTTCGTTGGTTCGGCAAAACTCACGCATAGCAGGAATCCCATGCAACAGGCGGTCAACTCGGCCTATTCCTGCAGTCGACATGCCTTCACTCTCGTGAACTGCTAACTTGGGGAAAAGACACGCTTCGAGGTTCTTCGTGTACTTATCCCAGTAGGTGCGGACGGGGTCTGGTGGCTGTTTCTGTATATATGAAATGTAATCTCGGTATACGTGGTCTGGTCCTTGAGGCAGAATACCATCGTATGCTAGTTGGAGATCGCGGTAGATTATCTGGCGGGAGATTCCATCCAGCAGGGCGTGCTCGATCTCTAGAGCGCAGCTTACGGAGCCTGTGGAAGCCCGACAGACCGTTAACCGATGCGCTGGATGCAACGCCGGTAGGGGCGAACGCTCCCAAGGGCCTGATCCTTCTACAGAACTCTCTGTCTGTGTAGCATCAAAGCTGACCATATTCGGTCGCACTTCATCTAGGACAACCTGGTCAATGCCGCCGTCCCCTCGCGGACTGTCCACGAATATGGTACGAAGTAGTGGATGTCTTTCCACAACCCGCTCCCACGCCCGCATGAGTCGGCCAGTGTCGACTGGACACTCATCTCGGGCTTTCACAGTCCATGCCAGCAGGGCTGTATAGCCTTTCGAATCCTTCGCTTGACTTATCGACATTGCAAGTTGGATGGGCGCACAGGGATACGCATCCGCCACGGTCTTGCCGGCGAGACTGAGTCTGTCTGTCAGGGCCTCAAATTTGAAGAATTGCTCATCAGTCAATCGCAGTAGAGGCACATCGGATCGGGTCAGACGAGGAGGAATCGTGGGGAATCGCTGGGCCAGGGTTGACAGGGCCTCTCGGGATCTTTCCGCCCATCCGACAATCTCTTTTGCGTGCTTGATATGCCGATTGTATAGAAAGTCAATCGACAGTCTTCCTTCGGCCACATTGGCAAGGATATCAATCAGGGCAAAGCGACCCACATGCGATCCCTGATTGACAAGAGTCGGAATCGATAAGGGTACCCGCTTAAAAAGGGAGTTAGGTGATTCTGCTGCCTCTGAAGTGCCGGCGTAATTGAGGGTGATCTCCATCGCCGTCATCCGACCCTGGCGTGCTGCCAAGTAGAACCGCCCAACGTCTTGGACGTCGCGTCGCCCATCCTTAGTTCGACGTACCGCCTCCATCAGGTCACAGTCGGGGCTCAGAGGCACATTAGAGGGCCAGATATTTGTAAACCATCCAACGGTTCCGATCACGTCAATATCGTCCGCCCATGGATCGCGCCCATGGCCTTCGTTGTAGATGGCTGGAGTTGGTCTATCGCGGAATGTCTTCATGAACGCATGCATCAGCGCCGCCTGCAGCAGCTCGACTGGCCTGGTGTTAAAGGCTTTGTTGGCAGGCCCCAGAACCTGACTAGTCTGTTGACGATTGAGTGTTACTTGGTACTGATCTACGTCGGCATAACTATTGCTGGATTCAGACAATCCCCAGTAATCCATCATTGCCGCCGGGGCAGCCTGGTCTCTTATCTCTGGGGCAGAGACAATGTGCTCCTCCTGGAGACGAGCCCATGTCATATAAGACATGGCGCTTGGTGGGCTCACAGGCTTCGATTCTAAAAGCCGCTCTAGTTGGTCCAGGATAGTCTGCCACGATACAATATCGACAACGAGGTGATGGACTATGAGGGACAGCCATTGTTTGCCGCCGTGGATACGCATCAGATCCACAGCAATCAAAGGCCCATATTCAATGTTCAAGTCTTGTTGACGATCCATATAAAGGGCTTCGGCGTCCCTCTGTGACATGTTTTCATGTTGTTCGTATCGGTAAGAATTGTCTATATCCTTGCTGATCGTCTGATACCATGTCCCCTCCGCATTACGAGAGAACCGCGCCCGCAGCATAGATTGAGTACGTACAATCCATTGTACTGCCTTCTCTACCTTGGCAGCCTGGACGGGCCGCCGAAGCTCGAAGAAGAAACTCTGATTGAAATGGTTGTAGTGCACCGGAACTCGGTCCAGGAAGAGCTGTTGAATCGCCGATAGGCGGAACGGTGTATCATGGGCTCCATCTTGCAAGGAATCTGACGAACTAGAAATACTACTTGTGACTGTTGTAGCCAACTTGGCGATTGTGCTCTGTTGGAAAATGTGGTCGACTGTGGTGCGGATCCCGATACCTTTTAATTGAGAGACAATTTGCATAGCACTGATCGAATCGCCGCCGAGATGAAAGAAGCTGTCATCAACGCCTAGCATGTCAGGAGCCTTGTTCAAAGCATGAACCCAGATACCATGAATCGCTTTCTCATTTGCTGTCGATGGCTGTCGGTGGCTGCGTTGTGCTGCGGTCATGTACCGCTGGATTTCCGAGGGCAGAAGAGCTTCGACAGACATGCGAAGAGCTCTGCGGTCTACCTTCCCTCCAGTTGTCCGAGGGACCTTGGCAATAGGAAGGAATATAGAAGGAACCATGTATCTGGGGATGGCATCGTGAAGAGAGAGCTCGGCGACCTGCATGGACTTTTGGAAGGTGCTTGTGGCAGGAAGAAAGGGCGCGCCTTCCGCTTTTCCACCAGCCGTGTCCTGGAGAATAATACAAGCGAATAAGGTCGGTGAGCTGTCTATCGTTGCAATGTCGACAATCGAGTCTAAACCTCCAGTGCAGCTTCGCACTTGATACTCGACTTCGGCTAACTCTATACGCTGTCCGCGCAGCTTCACCTGTGTGTCTTTGCGACCGATAAACCGAATTGTCCCTTCAGTAGTAAGCTCGACAAGGTCGCCCGAGCGATAGAGGCGGCCGGGGCGGCCATTTCGCCAACGGGTGAGCCATTCCGGAGGGTCAATATATCCTGCTTGCGTGAGCTCTGGGCTGTTGAGATACCCTCTTGTGACAATTGGCCCTTCGATGATGAGCTCGCCTATTGCACCAAGGGGAACCAATCGTGTGGGATCAGAGGGAGCAGTCACCCATGCTGCTCCGCCTAGAACAGGGCCAACGGTGCCTGGTGTCCAGGACCCCTCGACTACTGGCCCTGCTGCGCAGATTATGGTCTCAGCCGGACCATAAGCATTAATAAGTGTTACATGGGGTGACCACCGACTGGCAACGTGCCGTGTCAGCGCTTCGCCTCCTGATATAACAGTCTCTAAACTGGGTACCCGATCAGGATCCAGTATGGCCAGCATCGATGGGGTCAAGAGGGCCGCGTTGACTTGCTTGTCTGCAATGAATTGCTCAATTGCGTTCATCCGCTCAGACTCAGACGGTATACAGACACATCCTCCGGTGACGAGGGTCGTGAATATCTCATAAATGCTAGCATCGAAGGCATATGACGCAAAGTGAAGCATCCGACTACTCTTGGTTATGTTCAGTGCATCACTGTGATATCGAATGCTCGTCGACAGATTCCGATGCTCCATCACTATGCCCTTGGGTCGCCCGGTGGAGCCGGAGGTAAAGACAATAAAGGCCGGGGAGACGGGGCTCACCGAGGGCTGCTCGACAGAAGCCGAGCCAAGTCCATGCACTTGCATCTGGAAGGGTACAGTCAGTATAGGGGCCGCAGAATGTCCTTCGAATTGACCCTTCGTCTCTTTCGCGCAAATGACTGTTCCAGGCTGTGTCTGATCAAGTATACTCTGCAGCCGCTCAGTTGGAAGATTGGGGTCAATGCAAACAGCGGTTGCTCCAGCACGCAAAACGGCCATTATGCTGATGACCGACCACTTTGATCTCTTTAGACTGATAGGCACAACTGATCCCGCCTGAAGACCGCTGTTCCCAAGTGCTTGCGCCAGCAAAAGTGAGGAGGAGGCTAGCTCTTCAAAAGTCAAGTCCCCATCCCAGGCACACACTGCTAAGGCAGACGGACGCGACATTACATGGTCCAGGACCGAGTCATGCAAGCAGCGCTCTATTGGCGATGGTAGTGTAGCATTCCAGCGTGTCAATTTTTCCCAATCATGATCGCTAACTGCTGAGAGACTCCGTAGAGACATGTCTGGGTGAAAGAGGACTTGGTCAAGAATGTGCTCAAATTGACTGACCATCCTCTGGGCCTGGTGCACATCCAACATGCTCGGGTCATACTGGGCCACGATATCCAGATAGCCATCCACCTCCACAACTTTATTACAAGCAAGAACAAAACCGTAGCTTGCAACATCCCCTAAATCCAGATGCTTGCTCTGAACTTGGGCTATCAGAGCGCCGTGGCTAGACTTTGGAAGAAAATTAATTCCCACATGACTCTGAAACTTGCATGCCCTGGCTGCTTCACTACTAAACGACCCAATCTTTCGCAATCCAGTCTGCTGATAGGCCGTCATGACTGCTAGTTGCTGTTGAATCTGGCGCGCCTCATACTGTACAGATTTATCTAACTCTAATCTGACGCGAAATGGGACGGTTGTGACAGTCGGCCCCGTGAACTGGTCAATGCCAGACACGGCTGCGGTGCGCCCATTGAGGGTTAATCCAAACACGACATCGACTGAGTCCGTATAATAGGACATAACGATTGCCCATGCCAGTTTGATGGCCGTGGGAAGAGTGAAATCCAGCTGAATATCGGCTCTCATGGAGTGTCGCCGATGAATGGCTTGATTCGGTACCGGTTCGTAAGTTGGATATGGAAGAGCTGGGAATACAGCTGCTTTGAGGTCTTCAAATTGGCAGCGCCAAAAGGAAGCCGAAGCGGAGTCGTCCTGTTGTTGGTGGAGGTAGCGAATAAACGGTGAGAATGGCCGAGGCTGAAGACTTTGTCCGCGGTAGGCAGCCTCGACCTGGTCCCAAATGAGAGACATGGACCAGCCGTCGTAGAGGGCATGGTGGATAGTCATGACGAGACGAGGAGGACTAGCTATCAATGAAAGACAAAGCAAGCGTACATTGAGGCCCATTGCTACAGGCACAGAGCGGCTTTGGTAATCCTGCTGTGTGCTATACTTCTCCCAGTATGGCGCCTCTCGCATAACGACCTGGAAGCTGCCTCCCGGGCCCTGTATCAGTCGTGTACGGAGAATAGGATTTGCAACACAAGTTGCATTCCACGCCGCTTGGTAACGATCCAAATCGACATTTTCTACAAGGTCATAGACGAATGTTGCAACATATTTTCCGGGCGTCTTCAGAGTCAACGCCATAAGGCCTTCTTGCAACGGGGTGCATGGGTACAGGTCCTCAATCTGAACTCTGGCTACTCCAGCCTCGGTCTGCAGCGCTGATATAACTTGCTCTTGTACCCGCAAATCTGAAATGAGAGTGAGTGGTGGCACTGTATCGTCGCTGTGCGTGACATTGGCCATGTTTTTCATCGCTGCAAGGTCGATTATACGCGGTGTGGTGAAGATGTCTCCCACGGTCAAAGAGTACCCCGACTTTCGTGCGAGCGTGACCAATTTCATGGCCGACAAGGAATCACCACCCCTTCGGAAGAAGTTATCCTCAATCCCGATCCGGTCCTCGGGAATCGAAAGAACGACCCCGTAAAGTTGCCGCAGTACCGCCTGGGTGTGAGTCTCTGGCCCTCGAATCGGAGCTCTCTCTGACATTCTGAACTCATCCAGCTGTTCGGAAGTCAATAGTGCCGCATGTGCTTGTAGGACGCGCCGATCCAGTTTTCCCGTTGCAGAAACAGGCAGACGGCTGAGGGGGATCAGAACCGCCGGGACCATGTATGATGGGAGGTGCTGTTTCATTCCAGCAAGGGCAATAGCTGCTGCTTTGGAGAAGCTCGCGTCACTCTCCACAATCAAACTGGAGTTGGATCCGATTGAGGGCGTGCGCACAACGAACCCGGCCAGAAGATCAGGTCGCCCGTTTTGTGAAGGAAGGATGTCAGCAACTACTCTCTGAGCTCCAGGAAAGCAGCGGTGTAGGTGATATTCCACCTCTCCCATCTCCATTCGCTGACCTCGCAGCTTGACCTGCGTGTCTTTACGGCCGATGAATATAAATTCCCCTTCATCGTTATAATGCACGAGATCTCCGGTTCTATACAATCTGTACGGACTAGCCCGGAATGTGCGCAGCCAGGGGACGCTGTCTGGAAATGCTTCAGCCGTCTTTTTCGGTTGGTTTAGATACTCCCGTGCAACAGTTGGGCCTTCAACTATCAGCTCTCCAACGGCACCGATAGGGCATAGCTGATTGACATTCGACGGCTTGACAACCCATCCTACCGCCCCAGTAGCAAGGCCAATATTCGTTGACTGCTTCGGGTCTACCGCCTGCTGCACGGCCATCAGTATTGCACATTCAGTCGGCCCATAACAATTCATGAGGTGCAAGTATGGAGACCACTGCTCAGCATCAGCTGGGGTCACGGGCTCTCCACCCAGCAAAAGGTGTTTCAACGTGGGGGATGTCTGAGCGTTCAAGGTACGTGCGACAGTAGGCGTCATCAAAGCCCAATTAGCCTTAAAGTCTGCAATAGCACCCGTAAGATTCGACAGACAGTCTTGTTGAGACGGAACACATATACAGCCACCAGCTACTAGTGTCGCGAGGTTGTCAAATATACTTGCATCACACGCATAGGCCGAAAACTGCAGCACTCGGGACTCTGGGCTGAGACAAGACTTGGGGCATATTGCCTGCGCCATTGTGCACCAGCCACCATGCGTAATCACAGCCCCTTTTGGCTTGCCTGTTGACCCTGAGGTAAATACCAGATACATGGCTTACTTGGAGTGGCCGGACTAGTGTTCAGGGGACCTTCGGCGGTCACCAGCTCGTTATAATGGGACCCGAGGATGACAGTTTGTAATGGTCCTAATTGACTAGCAGAACAGGCATTGGCTTCCGAGCAGAGCAGGATAGAAGCGCGCATCTCGTGACATAATTTTTGCAATCGATCCATGGGATTCGAGGGGTCGAGCAAGGCGAAAGCACCGCCGGCTTTCAAAACAGCCAGTATGGCGACAGTCGTCCACCGTGACTTCTCGAAAAACAGGGGAACGAAGGTCTCAGGACCAACACCCATGGATACTAAGCGTCTTGCTAGATTTTCTGCATGTGTTTCGAGTTCCTGGTATGAGAACTCGCCATCCCACGCGCAGACGGCGGGCGCTTTAGGCTGTGCCAGCGTACGTTGATAGATCAGCTCGTGCGCACACTGTTCGACCAGCGCTGGGGGTTGGCCATTCCACTTCCGCAACTCGGCCATGTCGCATGTGCCGATGCTTTCGATATCTTCTAGCCGAGCGTTAGGTGTCTGCTGAATTTGCTGGTAGATATGCTCCAATTGATGAATTAGCCGCTTCATATGGACATCAGTGACCATCAGCGGGTCATAGGCGATTTCGAGCGCCATCGAGGTCGAGGATGGCTTAGCGACTATGGTAATACCAGAAGAAGTGGTCTCGGTCAACTCGGTGAGATCACGAAGTTTAGAAAACATGGCCGGGTGTCGGTGCTCCCCATCATCGGCTTGGATGACTAGTTGGCTCTGAAACTGCGTGGCAGCGGCGGACTCGGCGCCCAGAAGGCTGAGGCGCTGAAGCCCGACCTGCTCTACAGACATGGTCCGGCGTGAGTGCGCCTGTACATTCTTCAAGGTTTCGATCACAGTCGCTTGGGGATCGAGAAGCAGTCGCATGGAAATGATGGCGAAGGTGGGTCCGATCATGGACTCAATGCCCTCAACCGGCGCACCATGGCCGGCAACTGTTAGCCCAAAAACTACATCCCAACTCTCTGTGTGGTGAGATACTAGGAGGCCCCACGCAAGTAGGAGCATAGTCGGCAGAGTTATTTGTTGCTCGGTATGCCAGGCCGCTGCAATGGGAATAACATATGCAATCGTTTTTGTAGGCTTCACAACATGATCTGGGGACGGTAGTTTGGGGAAAGGGACCGCGTTCAGGTCCGATAGGGACTCGGTCCAATAACGGTCAATTTCGCTCTGGCTTTGGGATTTCAAGTATCGGATAAAAGGGCTAAAGGGCCTCGAGGACAAGCTCTCCCCTCTGTAGGCCGCTTCCACTTGTTGCAGCAATAATGGAATCCCCCAGGCATCAAACACTGCATGGTGCATGAGCAATGTGAAATGGCGAGGCGTGTTTGGGGTTGTCGGATCACTCAACGCCAATCTAATCAACCGCTGTCCTGTCTTCCAGTCCTTCCACATTTTGGGGACATCCTCGCTCGGAATCCTCGTGTCCCATGGAATGACATCCCGGATTACGGCCTGCCAAAGTTCTGCTTCTTTCCCCGGCACGATGCGCGTTCGCAGGATTGGGTTGGCTTCAACTGTTGCTTGCCAAGCGCGGCGGAATTTGTTGATATCGATGTTGATGGGCAGCTCGAATTCCATACACATGGTGTACGCACCTGAATGTTTCAGGGCTACTGCGAATAGGCCCTCCTGTAGCGGAGTACACGGGTAGATGTCCTCAATTTCGTCCTGCTTTACCTGAAACTTGCCCAGGGTGTGCGCCACCGCCATTTTCTCACTCTCACTCTTACAAAGCGAGAAGGCTGGTACTTCTTCTGATGGAAGATGATCCATGCTGGCACTCGATGCCATTTCCTCTAGCGTACCATCACCCCAAGCATCCTCGTCTTCCAGGATCATTCCGCACTTGCGCGCTAGCCCTGCTAGCTTCATAAACTGTAGGGAATCTCCACCTAGGTTCCAGAAGTTATCTTCGATGCCAATACGCTCGATAGGCATTTGTAGTACCTCTCCCAACAGTCGCTGCATCAATGTTTCCTTAGGGTTTCGCGGCGGTGTCTTCGCTGTTGTCTCCAGACCTAGCTTGAGCAAGTCGCGTTGAGTTTTGTAATTTCCAAGCTGACGTAGGCTTCGGCGATCCAGTTGGCCATTGGTACTCAATGGCATGGAAGATATCTCCAGGAAAACCGTGGGAGCCATGTAGCCGGGGAGAACATGTCGCAGCGTGGATTTTACTTGCTGAACTAGTGTCTGGAAATCCCCATCTGGGACCACCAGCTCACTTTCGGAAGTGGTTGCTTGAGAAGCCCCGGGAGTCCTGGTCTGACGTACCACGAATGCGACCAAAAGGGGGGATTCGAGCGCATCCCTTGGTTGTATTACTTCCACTGCGGCATCAATGACCGAAGGATGTGAGCGTACATGGTATTCAATCTCGGCCGCTTCCATTTGGTGTCCAGCGATTTTTAGCTGGCTATCCCTGCAACCAAGACGCTCGATCGAGCCATCTACATGACAGCGCGCGAGCTCACCAGTCCTATAAACTTTGCCCTGCACGCTTGGCCATATCTTTCGCAGCCAGTCGGGGCGGTCGACGAAGCCGGCAGCTGTGTTGGCTCCGCATCCTATGTATCCCCGCCCAACAATCGGACCTTCGATCAAAAGCTCACCTACTTTGCCTACCTCACAAAGGCGCTGGACGTCCCTCTCATCCACAATCCAGCAGCTTCCGCCAACCGGAAGCCCTACTCGGATGGGCAAGTCCGCTGCCTCGGGAACGGCATGGACGCAGGCGAAGATACTGCACTCAGTGGGTCCATAGGCGTTGAATAAGTTCAAATGAGGAGCCCAATGATCTCTATCTTGTGCGGTCAGGGCTTCCCCAGCACATACCAAAGTCTCGAGCGTCGGCAGGGTCTTGGGATCCAATGAGCGAGCCATGGATGGCATGAGCAAAGCCCAATTGACTCGCAGACGTCGTATCACAGTGGCAAGGTCACCCCGTCGTTCCACTTCAGACGGAATACATACACACCCTCCGTGGACTAGCACGGCGAGGGTTTCAGTGAGGCAGACATCAAAAGCGTAAGAAGCAAAGTGCAGTGCTCGCGATGTCCGGGTGAGATTTAATCGGTTACCGTGACCGACGATCGAAGATGAGATAGATCGATGTTCGATCACAGCGCCTGTAGGGGTACCTGTACTCCCGGGGGTAAACATGGCATAGGCGGCATGGCTTGGCTTAGAACGACTAGCTGCCCCTGGAGCCATACCCTGATTTCCCTGCCCTGTTTCTTTGTGCACGACCACCACATCGGGCGCAAGCTGGCCAGCTTGGGACGCATTCTGGGATGAGGCTACCACCAACGGCGCCTTGAATGTTTGGCAGATTTCCTTGAGCCGCTGTAATGGTTGCGATGGATCGAGTAGTACAAAGGCGCCTCCAGCATACAAGACACCCAGGATCGCAATGATCGCCCACCGGGACTTCTCAAAATAAATAGGCACAAAGTCTTCTGGGCCGACACCCCGAGCCGACAGCGACGCGCCGAGTGAATGAGCTAAGTTGCTGAGTTGCCGATAGGTGAACTCGCCATCCCATGCACACACTGCAGGTGCTTCTGGCTGTTCTTGACAGCGCTGTTCGATTAAGTCGTGTATGCAGGACTCAATTGCCACGGGTGGTTCTGTGAATAGTTGCTCGGATTGTGAATCGTAAGCAGGCACTAGGCCTCCGTTCTGTGTAAGACGTGGTTTGTTGGACAGAAAGGTCATTATGACTTGTTTCAATTGAGAGTATTCCTCTCCCAGGCCGTTTCCCGAATGTTATCGTTGTCAGTCGGGTCTTCATCTGTTTCCTGTCTAGGTGAAGCAAAAAGAAAGGGAAAGGGGAAAGGGAAAAAGGAAGATTGAGGAGAAGAGAATAGGTGAGAAACTGGTAAGAGACTTCGAGCACCTAAGCTTATCTGAGAATCTCTTGACGCTCAGTATCCTTGATTTTAGTAGGGAATGACACGAAATACTGGGATTGAGGATTCAAGATTTCTTACCACTTCGGGCTGTCCTGTAAGAGCTGTGATCAAGGAAAATATGCGTGAGTAGGGTTGACTTGCAACTGGCCGAATTCACCAAGATTGTAGACGATCTGGTTTCGTCGGTACCAGTCAGTCTTGGTGATAATATAGTAGGATCTAGGAAGCACAGGCATGTTTGTGTGACCTTTCTTAACCCTTGGGGGGTTATTGGATTGAACTGGAATCCTTCTCCTACAGTCAGATACCACCTCACATGTTGATGATGATGGAAGCGTTGGCGGTCTCATCATCATCATTGTGTCCGATGTAACGTAAGGCTATACAGTTAAGAGCTATTTGGCAACGTTGGAAGTACTTTGCAGATACGGGGAACCAAATACTTCTGTTTTTCGACATAGTATTGGCACTTCGTCAGCGAATTCCCCCTTGCCTGCAGGAATGCATCAATGGAGCCAAGCTCGATCATCATTCACGAAACCGTTATTCGTTCCGGCTGCAGGAATGTGAGCCATATTACTGTGTAACTTGATTGGGTTTCACTAAAGTATGCTTATTCCACTGCATTCATTACGATGCCAGTGGAAGGTAAAACCCTTAGGGCTCAGCTAACGGAATTTATTTCCCTGGTTGAGCAATTCCAGATAGTGGAAGACTGCATGACTTGCTTAGAACAGGCCTTTGTCTGGAACGTATGTTGACAGCTACTTAGAATTAAGTTGTTTCTAAAGCTCAATCTCATTCGGAGGAACAGTTGGAAGTTTGAATTTATAAGGAATGTATATCTATATATTCAGCCCATTGTCAACACATGGTAGTATTGAAGAATTTCATGGATAATGCAATACTAGTAGTAGAGGCTACTGATACTTACTTAGTACTGCTAATTGAGAACATATCATAGATCTAGTTTACCTTAATCCACTATGAACACGCTGCAGCATCACACAACATTCGAAGGATACTCCACCTCCTCCAAGCTCCCAAACTCCTCCTTAATCGTCCTCACACTTACAAACCGCTGCAAATGTGCCATCGTGCCCGTCTTATCATTTGTCCCAGAGTCCCGACTACCCCCAAATGGCTGCTGTGCGACCGTCGACCCCGTACACTTCGTATTCAAGTACAACATGCCCGCCGCATGACGCAGCGCTGTCTGCGCCTGTCGCGACGCATAAGGGTCCTTCGCATAGATACTCCCCGTCAAGGCATAGCGCGATGTCCCGTCCACCAGTTTCAGCGTCTCTTCCCACTCGTTGTCCGGGTACACATATACGCCTAGAATCGGGCCAAACAGCTCCCGGGACATGATCTCATGCTTCGGGTTCGTGGTGCGATACACAGTCGGGTGTACGTAGTATCCCTGACTCTTATCGGCGATACCGCCGGCAATGAGTTCGAGTTCGGGATCGTTGCGTGCGGAGTGAATAACCTCCGCGAGACGGTCGAAGGCGCGTTCGTGGATGACGGGGTTGATGAAGTGGGCGTATTCGTCGACAGGGCCGACAGACAGGCGGGAGAGGTGGTCCTTCAATGTTTGCTGAAAAGCAGGCCAGACGGATTCGGCGATGTACACGCGGGAATTAGCGGAGCATTTCTGGCCCTGGTATTCGAACGCCCCGCGGATGGTGTTAAGAGCTGCGTTGGTGATGTCTGCTGAGGGGTGCACGAGGCCCCAGTTCTTGCCGCCGGTTTCGCCAATCACGCGCGGGTAGGAGTTGTAGATACCCTCCCCGATGGCATTGCCGATTTTCTTCTGCAGGCCTTTGAAGACTTGCGTGGAGCCGATGAATGTGAGGGCGCCAAATTCGGGACGATGGAGGATCGTGTTGGTTACTTGTTCGGCGTCGCCGGGAAGGAATTGGATTACGTCTTTGGGGAGACCGGCTTCGAGAAGGATCTGGTGCAGGAGCCAGCTGGCGTGGAGGGCTGAGTCGGATGGTTTCCAGATAACGACGTTACCTAGGAGGGCGGCTGGGCCGATGAGGGTTGCGCCTAGTGCGGTGAAGTTGAATGGGGCGATGGCGTAGACAAAACCCTCTAGGGGGCGGTATTCGAGCTTGTTCCAGGTGCCGGGGAGGTGAACTTTGGGCTGCTGGGCGAAGAGTGACCAGCACTCTTGGATGTAGTGACGGAAGAAGTCGACTGTTTCTGCGGCGGCGTCGATCTCGGCTTGCCAGATGTTCTTGCCTTGGCCTAGCATGGTGGCGGCAACAATTTCAGAGCGGTATTTGCCTGCGATGAGCTCGGAGGCGCGCAGGAAGATGGCCGCGCGGTCTTCGAAGGGCATGGCCTCCCAAGCTGGTTTGGCTTTGAGGGCTGCATCCACGGCGGTGTTAACCTGCTCGGGCGTAGCGGATGCATATTCGGCAACTACCTCGTTGTGGCGTGAAGGGTTCTTTTGGATTTGGGATTTGATAGTTTGTGTCTAACTGGTTAGTTGCGTGGGTTCGATCACAGGAGAGGTGACTTACTGTGGAGCCATTGATGGTGAGTGGGATGTTGAAGGGCATCTCGCTCTTCAGTTTCTGTAGGGCTTGCGTCAACTCGGCCCTCTCGGGTGAGCCTTTTGCGTAATCGAGCTGGTGTTGTTAGTGAGTGTCATGGTATCGAAGGAGACACTTACTGGCTTCTCATTCTCGAACTTGGGAGGATGCCATAGACTGAGGGCTCGCAGTGGCTGACCTGCCCTCCGGCTGGTGTGCAGGATTGATGCGCGCACGCGAATTGAGAAGTAAAGTGTCCGCATGATGGTCTATTAGTCCTGTATATACTGAGTGTAAAGCGAGACTTTTCGGGCAAGGAAGGGTATTTGTAGAGCAGCTGTCGGGAGGAGTCCCGAGCGGGGAGTGTGGCATCCCCGCAATCCCAATTGCAACTGCAAGGAGACCTGCAGCTGCATCCAATCGTGACGTGTCGTACTACTCGATAAGTGGCCAAGAGATGGCCATGATGCACCAACCATTGAGATAACTTCGGTGTAGGTACCGACTGTTCTCGTGCGTCTATCCTTTCGGGTGCCGATCCCGAGGGTCCCTCATTCATGCATCCAGATACGCAGCAATCGGGCTCGCGTAGTCTCAGCAAGTTCATCGCATTGAAGAGTGTGATATGATAGCTATTGAAGTTATAATCCAGTCGTAATCTGTTCTCATTGACCGAACCCAGGTTCAGGATATTGAAGGGTGAAGCGGTTTTCAAAGGGTGATAAACGCAATCATAGATGAGATAGAATGTTAGTTAATCCCCAAAATATATATCCAATGACTCTGCTGGTCTATAATGTTATTCAAAAGAACTAAACCATAAACCCGAGCAATCAAGCTTAGATCTACTCAGCTTCCTCAGCTTCCTCCTCACTCTGTGCAGCCATTTCGTGGTAGAACCCTCGCCATATATCCAATGAATCTACTGGTTGGTCTTCCTCATCGTCCAACTCATCCCATTCGTTCCATTGCCCCAAGCTCATCAGATGCCTCATAGTTGGCCGGCCATGGGGACAATTCCACGGCTTATCAATGGTGCCCATATTATGTACCACCTTCTGCATCTGCTTGACCGTCAAGGTCTTGCCGATCATGATGCTCGACCGACATGCCCGCATGGCGAACATCTTCCGCACTTTGCTCGGACGGGGTATATACATTCCTGATGCTGATCGTGCAGCGTTGGTAGGCGTCTCCGACAATAATACAATGAGCTCTTCTAAATCCCGAACCCCAAAGACCACTTCTTTGCTCAAGGGCAGCGAGACCAACTTGCAGCGGCGCCCGATAGGCTCGTCTCCGCTTTCGTCCACTTCTACAATGAAGCCGTTCTTTTCCAGCGCGGCTTGGTTCTCAATGACAATTTCCTCCTCCACTGCAGTGAGATCGAGGCGCTTCGGTTGGACGAGGCGCTGATTCTGCACTACGGTTTCTGCCTGCAGTCGTTCGAAGTTGAACTTTTCATCAGAGGCATGCTGGTCTATGATGAAGAGTTCGTCTTTTGCTGATAATCCAGCACCCGTGTCATCGGCAGATGATCGCGTAGCTAGAATGAACCCGAGATTGAACTGCCCAACTATCCGCATGTTGGCAAAGTCGTCTTTGCTGACCGTTAAAGATAGTCTTTCCTCAGCCGTTTCTTGTTGCGCTGCCATCTCATCTTCGCCCTGTGAAGGGCCGTGGTGCTCTTCCCAACGGCGGAGGCTTTCCTGTAGTTGCCCAAGCTGTGATTGTATCTTGGAAAGAGAACCATCGATAGTACTCATTAGCTGCACAGTAGAGTCACGGTGAGCAGCCCCCTTATTCATCTTGTTGGCGCGATGAATGTTGTTGTCTTGGGGCAATGCTGCTTTGTCCTCTGCTTCTTGGATGAGTCGTTGGACTTCTGCTTCTTCATGGTGCTTTTTCTCTTCCTCGCTTATGTTCTCCCTCGCGGAGCTAAGCTGTTGTGATTTTTGAGAATCATTGCCATTGCTGGCTTCGTGGTTATGGTGGTCACTGCTAACATCTTCGGGAGGGTGATCCTCATTGTCTGACGGAGCATAAGATTGAGATTCATCATCTTCCACTTCTTCCTCGACTTCTTCTTCTTCCTCTTCTTCCTCTACAGGCTCCTCACTTGCATCTTCGGCCTCGTCATCCAGAATTTCTTCGTCTTCACTTTCCGGCTCCATTTGTGATCCTGGAGCAGCAAAATCCCTCATATGCTTGCCGAATATGCTAGGACGCGAAGGGGTGTGTATCCGTCTTTTGCGGGTCGTAGGGCCAGCGGCATCACCAGCACCTACGGACCGCTTTCTGGGCAACCCACTCCCCACCATAGACGTAACGGTCCGGTTGCCGATAGTAATGGTAGCCATCTCAGGAGGCATTCGCCTTGGCCGCATCCGATCAAACGCGTTTTGGATAGTATTGGGTGTTTCCTCCAGGGGGTCGGCTATCTGCGTCGACGAAGGCTCCTCAGGAGCCATGTCTTGAGACGAGAGATTATCGTCACGCTGTTGGGGGGCTTCTTCCGCGGTTTCCTCTGGTGTGAGATGCTGTGGTTCACCAGGGGAGTCCTGCCTCACGAAGAGGTCATTGTCTTCTTCCATTGGTTCAGACTGGTCTTGAGGTGACGAAGGCATAGGCTTCTCTTGTACGCTTGGTGCATCCCGTCCTGCAGGAGAGGACACTGCCGGACTACTGCCACGGGCACCAAGGCCGCTCAAGAAGCTCTTCATCCGGTCCTGCGAGCTCGACTGCACTTCTCCAGTCCCCTGGCTTCCCACTGGTTCCTGATCATCAGCCGCCGAGGAATTCACATCATCCACTGCAGACCGGTTCGGACTCTGAGTCTGAGACTGCAAACTTCCCAAGCGTTGTTTGATAGTAGGAGTCGGCTTCGACCCAACAACCAACGACTGCGGCACCGTCTGATCCGACGACTCAAACAGTTGCGCCAGCGACTCCTTTAGCGAATCAATCAGCGCTCCCGCATCATGCAACAGAATGGTCCGCTTATCCGGCGACACATTAACATCATAAGCGTTCGTATCCATATGGAAATCAGCAAACACAAAGGGCGACTGAGACACGTTAAACGACTTATACACCTCATTAAACGCCTTTGCAATCTGCGGCAACCCACACGGGCGGGAATTCACAAAGAACATCTGCCGATCCGGAGTCTGTCTCCCCTCCCCAAACACCGGTTTCGAGACATGTCCGCGAACTGTGAGTTTATTCAGCTCCCCAGACCCAGTAATTCTTCTCCCTGCCGCAGCAGACGGCTCAAACTCCAGTGCCAAATCCAGCGGAATCAGCGCCAGCAGCGTCTTCGCCCCATACACATTGGCAATATTCTCCTTCGTTGTCTGATTTCCATTCGTGCTAAACACGACCACATTCTTCGTTTTGCCCACCGAATTTCGGACGCTGAAGCGCACCCCCGTGCTGACGCACGCATACGCATGTAACAGGTTCAACACCTTGCCATACTCGCGCTTGATGTTCTTCTCCAGCTCTCGCCGCCGTACCGGTAACCCCTTGAAGATACTCTCCACTGAAGCTGTTGTGCCTTTTTGTCCCGCGACTATCTGCGTCTTTTTCAATTTCCCGGAGGGTTCGAAATCGAGTCGGGTGGCTTTCGGAGCTTGATTCGCCTGCGCAGTGGTAATGCGGAAGTCGGATAATGCACATAGGGATGATAGCGCTTCACCGCGGAATCCAAAGGTGTGGAGAGTGGTGAGGTCTTCGTAGGAGGAGAGTTTGGAGGTGTAGTGCTTCAATGCGACGTTGGCGTAGTTATCGGGAGAGATTCCGCTGCCGTTGTCTTGGACTTCGATTAAGTCTAGACCATTATTTTTGAAGCGAATTTCTAGAGTAGTTTGAATAAAGTTAGCGACACCGATCTATGGCATGCAATATGGGCTGGATTTAGGTGGTTGTTGTTGTACCTATTGAGGTTGCTCCGGCATCGAGACTGTTTTCGACCAGTTCCTTTGCAACGGAGCACAAGTCAACGATGACTTGACCGGATTGGATTTGATGGATCTGTAGTGTACGGATTAGAAGATATTTTGGAAGAAATACCAGGCAGACGTACCGAGCGGGCCTCGATGGCCTTGATGGTCGCCATGTTCATGCCATGGTGAGAGTGAAACTTGAGAGGGCAGAAAACGCGGTGACACGCGCCCGCCGGCCACTTTACGCGGTGGCTGCGATAAGCGCATCTCCGGGCGGGAGTCTCTACATCTACGAGCCGATACAAGAACAACCAGTTACACTATTCCAATAGCATCAATACCATTCTTGTGCACTCAACGGATTGTAATAATATACATGCAAATTCTTTAAAGACAACAGCAGCTGAGCATGGTATGTCGCAAAGTAACAATAGACGAATTCAGTTGCAGAATGGCGGCACCCACTATGACGTAGAACGGCAGGAAACTGTACAACTACGAGAAAAAGAAATATCGTTGTTCAACGCCCAACTCCCGGTCATAAGTGATCTCTTAACTCAAATCCACGATCAGTAGGTGTCAAAGCGGTCCGGTAGAACCACCGGTGCGATCAGGGTCCACAGGTAGATTCCATAGCACACCCAGGCACTGATGATCTTCACCCAGCTGGCCCAGTAGGTGCGACCAACGGGCGCGAAGTCATCGACGGCCTCCGGGTCCAGGTTCTGAGTCAGCAAGGTGGCTACCCAGGTGGTGGCCAAGAAAAAGATAATGTGGAACAAAGAGTAATTATACTGCGTCGATCCCTTTTCGTCGTCCTTGGTGTCATACTCGTCGGATTCGTCGTCGCTGTCATCCAGCGCACTGGCGGGCAAAGCACCGCTCTCGACTGCCGCCCGAAGAGCCTCGGCCCGCATCTCGCGACGAGTGGTTGGCTGCTGGGTCACAAGACCATGCTCGTTGTCATCCGATCCCAGCTGCGAGTAGTTGTGCCCCCCTTTCGAGCCTAGCGCAATGCCCTGGGTGGCCGCGCGGGTGGTCGTATACGCGATGGTAGCCATGGTGACAATCGCACCCAAAACGATACTAGCCGTTCGGGTGCCTCGGGCGCGAATCAGAGGGTTGCAGTGACGGTCATCTGGCTCCATGGACACCGCAGACATGGTGAGATAAGTGCAATAAACTGTGACCATGGCGGCCTGGGCCAATCCTGCTCTGGGGTTGGATTCCTGCACCATGGGCTGCACCGATATGATCGAAATAATGAGGAAGACAACGAGGTTAATCTAGCACGGAAGTAAGCACGAGGCCTGAGACGGCAGATGACAAGACTGTAGGAGACGCAGAAAACTTACAGTAATCGCAGCCTGGTTCATGGCGCATCCGCTGTGGGCAAAGAAGACATACATCAAGACCGTCATGACGAGAGATGCAATGTACATGCCCACAGTGGAGCCGATCAGAAGGCCACGCCACGTGCGTGAATCGCTATCTTCGATCTTCTGCAGGCACAGTTCGGCCCATGAGTGCGCCAGATCCACCAAGAGGATGAGACCCAGCAGGAGGAACAACATGGCGCAGATAAAGGCGATATAATGGCCGTAGACGAAGAAAAACGACTCGGGGATGAAGAATGAAGCGACAACGAGCGCAAGCCACAGAATAATCTTGGGGCCCCAGAACCCATTCTGAAGGACCGCACGGCCATCCTTGGAGGACCTGACACCAAGCAGCATGAAGGCGAGGATCAAGTGGAAGAGCCCGAGACCGAAGTTGATTCGATGGACGGCCACCCAACCATAGCATTCTTTCCCATCGCATCTGATTTCCATGTAATCTAGTGTCATGTGTTGTAACTTTTTGAGCGCCCATGGCGTGAGCATTATCCAGGAGATGATCGAATTGAACAAGAGGATGAAGGCATAGGCGATTCTCGTAGCCATACTGTTCGTCGGTGCCTAATGTCAGCCAAATCCACCATCACGAAGCGCAAGGCTAATTTTTCCAGTTGAATGTCGCTGACCTGTTCTGAAACTTCCCGCATGCACTACATACTGCCGAGCAGGTTGCTGCGCCGCAGCACGATGTCGCGAGGGTGATGAGCTACCTTGATGTCAGTGGGGGGGGAGTAGATGGCGGTGATGGAGGTGCACGTACCGTGCTGGCACTGGGGAGAGCCAGCAGAGGCAGAGATAAGAGGGCACCCATGATGGATGAAGAAGAGTGTCACTCCCTCTCACTAAAGACAATTGTTTGATCCAGATACAGAAGCGGGACAATATTAACCAGCCTGGGGATACTGGAGGAAGATGAAGACGGAATGGCAGGAGGAGAAGACGCGGAGGTTCGCCGCCTTCGTCATGTGCCGGGGATCTTAGCGGATGGTTGGTTTCTTACGCGCGGCCAGCAAAGTCGGCTACATTAACACCATGAGGTGATTTCAATAGCAAGCTAGTTAGTCGCACTATACTATAATACTAAGTAGCTGTTCGGAAGGAGGCAGCACCTGCCAAACCTAGTAGTTTCAGCAGTTATGCTTTCCCTCCACAATAATGTCTGGGGATGTTACTCCACGTGATGGAGCATGCATTAAAGTCACGTGCTTGTGTATCCGGGGCAAGTGTGCCGGTAATGATGACCTTATCGGCGATAAGCGACTGGCTGTCAGGTCTGTCACACTCATTTGAGGTGGTACTGCAGTTACCATACGATACCATACTACGTACTATGACTTCCCCTCCGATCTCGTCCGTCCGGGGAGACTAGCCTGAGTTGAGCTGACGAGTCCGACGGGACACATTTGGGGACACTTTGCTCCTTGACTAACTAATTGATTGCGTAGGAGGGTGGAGTGGACTAAATTTCCATTGCTGCTGAAAAGGACATCCAAACACTAACTAACTAGTTACTCACGTCGCTCTTTTCTTTTTCCTGTTTCTTTCCCTTCTTCCTCTTCTTGCACTCTTTTCTGCCCTTCTTTTTTTTCTTGTGTTTTTCTGTCCTTCCTTAACTACCACCCTAACTACTACTACACCACTACTACTATCATCCGTGGTGCGGTTATCTATGGTCGAGGTCTAGCCGGCCGTCCTTACTTCGCTCTCCTCCGGTTATCGTGACGTGATAACGTTTATCCACTGCACCACCATCCCGGCCAACGAACTACAAATACTAGTCGTCCGGCCACTGCGACCCTCCCCCGCATATTTCGATGCGAAGAGTTGCCTACTGGCCTTCCCCCGGTGTCCTCGCCCTTCCCATCCCGCATCGCCATGGCCGCAGCATCGCCCAATAAATCGAAGCGGATCGTTTCCGTCGTAGCGGCCACCCTGGTTGCTCTCGCGTGTGGTACCAACGTGCGCTTCTTCCCTTCTCTAGATTCATATGAAGCTGGTTGTTGAGCACGAGTCTGATATCCGTGACAGTATGCATACTCGGCATGGGCGCCCCAATTCGCGCAGCAAATGAAGATCTCCTCCACCGAAAGCAACTTCATTGTAAGCCACCCATTGCGCCCGTCACCCAGAGTTCAACGTTAATTGATAATACTTCCAGGGCGCGGCTGGGAATTTGGGCATGTATGCATCGGGAATCCCATTAGGTCTGTTGACAGATGCTCGAGGTCCGCGTCTGACGACCTTCTTGGGTGCAATCACGCTGGGAATTGGCTACTATCCCATCTATCTGGGTATGCCCCATATTGAACCCTGCGGACCTTGAAACTAGCTGACGTCTGCATGTACAGCATACGTCAAGGGCCCTGGGTCGATGGCCATTATCTTCCTGTCGTTTTTCGCTTTCTTGACTGGCTTCGGAAGTTGCTCGGCCTTCTCAGCGTCCATTAAGACATGTACGCCAAGCCTTTCCAATGGGTCTGTTATCCTGTATGGCTGACAACATCGTTTAGCGGCTTCCAACTTCCCCGATCACCGTGGAACAGCGACCGCTTTCCCCTTGGCCGCTTTTGGGCTAAGCGCGTTCTTCTGGTCGACCGTTTCCTCGGTTCTCTTCAAGGACGATACCGGCCGCTTCCTCCTTTTGCTGGCTCTGGGAACTTGTGCCCTAAACCTCGTTTCGATCCCGTTTCTTCGTATTTTGCCTCCTAGTGAGCCATATATGCCACTTGGACGGGGCAGGTCCCCTGGCGTAGAATCTCAACGACTGCGCACTACTAGATCTACCGAATTCCGGCACAGCCTGGAAGAATCTGATGAAGCAGGTACGCAGACCTTTATAACCTATGAATCCTGTCCCGCAGCGCGTGACACATCGCACTCGGTCGTGTCGAGTCCCCATCACCCCGGCCACAGCCCCGATATTGACGAAACATCCTCCTTGGTGTCCAAAGTTCCCTCACGCTCATCCCGAGACTTCCTCAACCAACACGAGGAGGATGACGATGCTCTCTCCGATGTTGCTCCCGAATCCCCGCACCCGGACGTTCGCGGCTTGGCGATGCTTCCGAAGATTGAGTTCTGGCAACTCTTTTTGACGATGGCGCTTCTTTCTGGAATCGGTTTGATGACTATCAAGTTAGTACCATTATCTTATCTCTGTACAAAACTGATGCTAACCGTTCAATAGCAACATTGGCAACAGCGTAAGGCAACTCCGCACAGTCCCATTCATGTCAGCTGACTGTATTTTCGCAGGCCAAGGCACTTTGGCAGTACTACGACGACAGCGCAAGCCCGAAGTTTATTCAACAGCGCCAGGTTATGCATGTCTCGATTCTGTCTTTTGGAAACTTTATTGGTCGACTTTCTAGCGGTATGCCGGCACCTTCAATGTTCAGAATTGGCTGCTAACCTCCTATAGGTATTGGCTCCGACCTTCTGGTGAAGAAGCTGAACATGTCGCGATTCTGGTGCTTGTTCATCTCCGCCTTTGTCTTCACCGTCACCCAACTTGCAGGCTCTGCCATCTCCAACCCTCACCAATTAGCCGTTGTATCCGGCTTTACCGGTATCGCATACGGCTTCCTTTTCGGCGTCTTCCCGTCGCTGGTCGCCCACACCTTCGGCATCGGCGGCCTGTCCCAGAATTGGGGTGTCATGACGCTTGCGCCCGTGTTCAGTGGCAACGTCTTCAACCTGCTCTACGGCAGTATCTACGACCGCCACTCGATTGTCGAGCCTAACGGAGACCGCGATTGCCCGGATGGTCTGGCTTGTTACCAGTCTGCGTACTACACGACGTTCTTGTCCGGTGTGGCCGGTGTGGTCGTCTGTCTGTGGAGTATCCTGCACGAGAGACGCATCCATGGTGCGATGCACAAGAAGGTTGAGCATGACCGACTTGCCTAGGATGGAAGAGTACTTTCGAAGCCTTTAGAAGTAAGAGGCTGAAAGCGGTGACTTTTATTTTGTCTTCCTCGTAAATATACCCAGGGGATATGTGCCAATTTAACAGGCAATTTGGTTGGGATTTTCAACATAGAGGGTTCACAATTTCATATAGACAATCATTGATTTTTCAAAGTGTTTCCAATAATCTCATCGTATGGGCAGTGCTGTCATGTAACTTCTCTGGGGAATTCAAACCTACCCACGTAGTTCCGGCCTAAGCAACTCCAACAATACACGAAGCTACATCCTCAATACTGTCCGAACTATAGTCTCCTCACATCTATAAATGCACCTATTCCATATTTCTACAGATACCCAAGGACTATCTTACACGTCAATACCTATCTATCTAGTAAATAATACATCAATAATCCTCCCCCCTCACCCACTCATCCTCCATCAACAACTCCCTCGCACTCGGCCTCTCCCCAGGATCCCAGCTCAACGTCTTTCGCAGGAACCGCAGAAACAGTCTTTTCCTGTCGCCCTCGAGTCGCGTCACTCGATCATCTAGAGAGCCTCCTGGAATGCCTACGTGATTTCTCCAATTACCTATAGATCCGCAATTGAACTAGTCAGCCAGGACTCAATCCCTTAAACTTACATAGATACTAGTAATAGGTAAAAAAGACATACCACCTCGATCCCAAAACCTCCAACTCTCTTCACTCCGAGCACCCAGAAACTCAACAGGCGGATGCCCAAGCAGGGCTATCATCTCTGCGAAGCGACAAGCATGGTCATTCTGTGTAAGCAGGTGTGGGGTATTGGTGAAGAGGTGGTTCGATTGGAGTAGCGTCCATGCCTTAAGCATCACCCATAGTTAGTTTTACTTTAGTTACTTCAACGGAAGTTGGTAGGTAGGTAGTTAAGGAGCTGTTACCGTCTGCCCTAAAGCCCATATATCCACCTTCTCATCCCACCCCATATTAAGCATTACTTCCGGAGCTCTATATAAACCCGGCATGATAGGACCAGTCTGTGTGCCTGTATCAGGCGGGAGTAATAATCTCGCCTCCCCCAGATCAGCGAGCATAGGTTCCCCGGTTGTGAAGGGCATTCCGCGCGTAGCGTAGATGGTTCTATTATCCGGAAGGTGGTTTTTCTTCCGCGGAGCAGGCTCGTTGAGTTCTTCCTCTTCTAGGTCGGTTAGGATTGAGGTGTCTTCGATGCCTAGGAGGATGTTGGTTGGTTGGATGTCTAACCATATCTTAGTAAACTATCTATGGATGAATGTGAGAGGGAGATTGGGGCTCTGTGGTTTACCTGTATGAACCACATTAGCCGAATGAAGATAATCTAGCGCAATGAGCATAAACCGGATGGTAACGCGGAGGAGATCCTCCGGTAATGCGTTGCCTTCGAGACACTGGACGTAATCGCAGATGTCCATTCCGGATGGCTGGTAGAGAATACATGGGTGGATTCCGTGGGGACCTTGGATCTCGAAGGAGTCGTAGACGAGGCGGTTGTATTTCTGGCCTACATGTTTACTGTGTTCGGCTTTGGTGTGGAAGGCTTGTAGGTGTTTGGATATGCGGATCTCCGGGAGGTGGGTGTGTTGGGTGCTGCGGACGTGGAGTTTTAGGGTTAGGTAGTTGTTGGTTCTGGAGTACGTAGTTAGAGTGGTTTATGGGGGTTGTGAGGAGTAACTAGATAAGTGTGTGTGTGTGTGTGAAGGTAGTATGCATACTGTAGATCACGACATAGCCAGACGGTGGATGAGGATCCGAAGCCGAGTTTGGTGATGACTTGGTATCGGGAATTGAAGACCTCACCGATGTGGACGGGGTAGAATCGCTCGGCTCGGTAGTCGGGTAGAGATTCTTCTTCTAGTTTGGGGATGTTATTGAGGAGTTCGTACCCTGTTGTGGGGAATGTGCGTGGTGGTGATGGGGATGAGAGGGAGCTTGTATGTCTGTGTTGATAGGGGTGCAGGGGGGAGGAGGTAATGGGCTGTCGCGATGGTTTGGGACGGCTGATAATGCTATTGATAGGGCTACAGAGACGCAGTACTGTCTTCATAGCTGCGTGAGCTATCTGAATGGTGATGTTTGAAGAAGCTAAATCCATAGAAAGAGAGACACGTGCTCTGTCATGTGTCTAGTCCTATCGACATGCATCCCTGTTCTGCCTATTCGAGATGAACTCCGATTATTATCCGTTCTCATCACTGACACCTCAATTCTATCTCAGCCATGACTGCTCTACATAGAGGGTTCCCTCATGCCAGCATCATGAATGCGCCCTTACACCTGATCCATAGATAGGAAGAGGCAGCCAGATGCCTATCCATCTACCTCCGATAAGTACTAGAGCCAACGAGCATTACGCTCCAAATGGCGACATTCCCCCTACCTGCACTAAGTCATTACCTACCATTACCCCCTCACCTACCAATATGCTCTATGTAAACATGAACCCAGATAACATTAGTCTCACCAAACCAACAATAGGTTAGTGTAACTGCATCCCTCTCCTTCAAAAGCGGGGAACTCTCCAATCAGCACATCCCCGACCGTCGGGAATATAGATAGTATATAGATAGATCATAGATAGGATGAAAATCTGCTTATGGTTATAAACAAGCAAATTTGAGTGAGGAGATGCCGATCAACGTCGTATCCCGGACGGACAACAAATCAGGTTGGGCCAATAATAAAGGGAGGATTTGCGTGATGGGCATTGATAAGGGCAGATTGCAGATTGCATTGTAAGGAGGTCGGGTACAATTCCGGGTACTCCGGACTCGTGACCAGTGCACATCCATCCATCGCACTGATAAGGAAGGAATCGGATCGACGGAGTGGAGTAGATGCGAGTGGTGAGATGAGATGGGATGCCCAGGTTTGGGGGTTTCATCATTAAAGTGGGATGATATAGGGTCGGTGGTCTTGAGGATTAGGTTAGGTTGGGTTACAATGGGGATACTGTGAAGGCTTCCTTCCGCCTTCGGAAGTATAGGATGTGATCACTCGATACTGTTGCATTGGATGATCGGTATTACGACAGACAATATTGGAAGGAAGACAGTAGTTAGATTCAGGGAGTTAATAATAACACGAATTACTTTGAACACATGTGAACCCTTTACAGGTCCTTTGCTTTTTTTGCTCTTTCTGAGGGGGTTTTTGTGCGGTCGGGCTGGGATGAGGGGGGTTGGTGCAAGCGCAGAATAATCTCTCCCCGAACTCATATCGGAACAAATAGGATGAGTAGAAGAAGAGAAGGGGAAAGTGGCTCGAAAAAGAAGGTTGTGTGATATAATTAGGTAGTTAATCCGATATACAGCCAGCCAATGACAAGACTCGTAAAGGGTATCAAAGAGACCGGGGAAGATCAGAGAACGCAGCACCACAGACTGTGTGCGCATTTGTTTACGTCGGTGCTGCCCGACGCACGTATGCGCGTCCATCGTCCGAGCAAAGCCCCCCTCCCGTGAGGCCTTAGACACTCTTGGGGGATTTTGTCGGCGATTCCGCAAGTTGCTCCACGACGTCGGACAGCCGCATCCGCTTGGCCAGCGGCTCGCCGGGACTGTCATTGCCCGCCGGGTTGGCAGAGGAGGTCTGTTCGCTAAGCTGTCGCTCCAGCTCAGATATCCGCCGTTTCAGATCGTCTTCGCGCCGTTGGGCCTCCTCCAGAGACCGCCGGAGTCGTACCTCGGAGTCCCGGACGATCATCTCCGATCGGCGCGCAGTCGCGCCGCTCTGCTCCAGTTCCGTCACCCGGCCCCGGAAGAGTTCATTGATAAACTCCAATTCGCTCACGCGAGTCTTCAAAGAGGTATTGGCTGCAAGCAGTCCATCGTAGGTCTGTGGTGACTCGAGATGGCGGTCCACAGCCGCCGAGGTCGCCGTGGGCGAGGGCTGGCGCGGCTGCACCGAGGGTAGCGCATTCGGCTGACTGAGACCATGGTCGCCGATTGTGACACTATCGAACATGTGCTGGGGCGCAATGTTGGCATTGTGTTGCGACTGCGGGTGTGGTTGTTGCATGGAAGGGATACCAGGCGTTTCGGTTCGGGAGACGGGTGAGTTGGATCGGTCGGAATGGCCCGGTGATGCCTTCCGCGACGCGCGACGGTATCCTTGGGACCCCATGGGCGGCGTCCCTGCTTCGGACCTTGAGGTAGACAAGCCATTTGTATCGATAGCACCGCCGGACTGATAAGAGATTGATATGGATGTTAGCGACCGTTATCTCAGGTGAACGACGACAGTATACAGGCAGGGAAAATTTTTCTAGACGACCGACTCACCTTACGCTTGGGGCCCTGACCAGCAGTCTTGACCCGGTTGCGACTCTTGATGACATCGGTCTTTAAGCTTATCGGACGGGGTCTGCCATGTAGTTTGAGGAACAAGCCACAGGCGTTGCAAAGGACGGAGCCGAGTTCGTCTCTGCGCCAGAGAGGTGTCGTAGAAGTGCCGCAATTCTGGCACACAGGCTGTAATTGAGGACGTTTGTGATCAGCCAACGTGGTCGCCATTGTTTTTGGAACAGTAGGATTGCGCGAAGGAGAGGGGAGGGAAAGACAGAAGATGGGGAAGCGGACTGATAGTGGATGGAGGAGGAAGAGCGCTGGGTTGATAAGATCGGGAGAGATTTGATGGGCTGGCGCGATAAGGAGCAGGTGGTGCGGCGCCAAGCCCCCAGCGGCTGCTGATAACAGCAGATTGGATTGGCACAGAAAAAGAAACCCAGGAAATTAAGGGTCACCATGAACACCAAAAATTTCACCCCAAAGCAAGAAGGAAAAAGCAACAAAACCAGCGTAGCTCGATAAAAACCATCGTCCTCCGATGATAAGATCGTTTCAGTAACTTACAGGATTATTGCCTTGCCCACCAGTAGTGGCAGCCGGAGAAGATGTCGCGTATGTCATATTGGCCATACTGGGCTGCGCATTGCTACTCGAGGCTCTGTACACGTAAGACTCGTCAGCATAACCAGAGATACGGGCGCTTTGGGCGTGTGAGCGTTCAAAGTTATCATATCGCCCCTTCGGATATGGCAGGGGAATCACGTTTGATCTTCACTGCGACTCCCCTTTCATTCCGTCACCTGGTCTCGTCTATGCAATATCGCATAGGGAAAGGTTCTTTCTAGGTACACATACCGCAGATTGGAAGTGGGCGCGGATGCGACCGAGGCCAAAGCAGAGAGTCCAGGCAGAGATGGGCCCAGAGAGCTAGGAAAGGCACTACCGTTGCTGCTACTGCTCGGGCTGTGGGTGTATTTATCTAGAGAACTCGCCTCGGGAAGCGTTCCAGAATACTGCGATGACGCTGATGATGCTCCCGCGCCAGTATCCGTGGTCGATTGACGCGATCCCGATTGACTGTCAGTCGAGGAGGAAGTATGTTTGTAGTTCGAGTCTTGAGACTGGGAATTCGACGGCGACGGCGGACGAAGGGCTGGGTCGATGGGCGACGCCCGGAACAGAAGTGAAGCCACCGTGGAGGTTGTCGGAGGGAACTAGCTAGAAATCCGGCCCCAAAATGACCGAATTATAGACAATTCGAGGAGAGCTTTTCCGTCGTTCCGGGGGTGGTATACGACGACGGTTTGGGAGGAAAGATTCGTGCCGTTGGAGAGGACCAGCCACGTCTGAAAGGGAGGAATGATATGGAATGTCGTTCGACTTTTTTTGGTTGACCAGTTGTGATCAAACGATCAATAAACTTTTTCCAAGCCCGAAATGATTTTCTTTTTGTTCTTGATAATTGCTTTTGTCCGGCCCAAGGGACATCAGAGATTATACTCCAGGAGTAAAAGATCTCAAGACAAGGCTATCTCGGGGACAAGTTGCTGCAAGTCGACCCAAGGAGCGATTGCTGAAAGGAGCGACAAGAAGGTAAAAAAAACAGAAGAATCCAAGCTGGTTAACCGGAAAGGAACCATGCGAAAGACGATAATGGGGTTTGGGGAAGGGGATTCGAGACAGATCTGGAGGGGAACAGGATGGTCGGGAGGGAGAAGGAAGATCGAGGGTTGATTATCGGGGCTGCTATCGCGCGTCGGAGGCTATCGATTATTTATCGAAATGGCTCTGCGGAACCGCCGCTTGGCTGGGCCCAGCCGAGTCTTGGATACTCAGATTAAATCTTGGATAGGGATCCGTCACCCGTAGGAATTCCTCCTTATCACCTCCTCCCCAGTCAGTCCCGGGCTGTTGCTATGCTATGCTTCTGCTCTCCAAGGTTTATGCGCCTATCTAATAGTATGCGCGGGACGGGCCCGGAATGAATCTTCGCAATGTTGTTGTCGCGCCCCTGCATGCCCCTTTCCCACCAGCCTAGTATTTACTGTGATCGCCCCTGTGTTCTTTTGTCTTTCAAGCTTGTCCTTCAACGGCCAGAGACCATCATCACTCACGACTTCTCTATAGTGGAGTGGAGGCTGAGGTGGAGCTGAGCGTCAATAGCAGACGATATTTGACCGGCAGAGTGGCTGACCAGGACTCATGCTTGCTGTGATCGGAATCAGTCATGGTATTGCTGATTGGTGCGCAACCATTCGACTGTTGATGTTTTCCATTATAGCAATTCATCATACATCATGCTACTGCACCTCGTTTCACTTTATCGGTCCATGTCTTAGATCGTAGCATAATCTCGTTGGAGAGACGAAGCCATGGCGCGCATATCGCGTGGAGAGGAAATGCTGGAAAACGGCTGCCAGTGTCTGCACGGGGTCAATGGCAGTAGCTGTTGTCCATGAACTGGACGACAAGTATCAACCATAAGACCCTGAAATTTCTGGCTCAAAATTGAAGAACAGATCATGGCTGTTACTATTTGTAGAAACAGAAACTGCGGAGTGAAGTCGTAGTTTGTGTGCTTTCTCACTCAATCCACTGACAATCTGGATCAGAGGGGAATTGATAGCTCAGACTGAGCAGCAACCTTCTTGATATCTCTCCCCTTCCCCAGAAAACGTCTATTCCTTCTCCGGGGAAAAGCATCGCGTTGCGAGCCATCGATAATTCAGGGGCTTCCGTGAAGCTCGAGTGGATCCCAGCGGCACGATACGACCAGAGGTGGCGGTGCGGTATGGTATGGTATCCGGGGTGTGGCTGATTTGGACCCTGACTGCCATGTGCTTGACTAAGCCGCCGTAATTGGTGGTACGGTGACGGTACGAGTGGTAATTGCGGCGAGCGGCCACTTCTTCAAGATGACAGCGGCGCTGCCTCGAACTCTCTCTCCGGCTCTGGATTCTTGGAATCTGCTCTCTCCCTCCCTCCCTCCCTCTCTCTGTCGCTCTCCCTACCTCTCCGTGGTCGGGGACTATCGCTTCTACTTCGTCTTTACTCGTCTTAATCCAGTAATGGCTTGAGTTTTGTTCATCAATCATCCTTCCCTTTCTCGCCGTTCATTATCCACCTCCTACCTTAATTCTTTCCCTTGCCCCGTCGCCTTCATATGGTCCGAAAGTGGTTGCCTCCCGACTCGACTTGTCCCATTATTTCATAAACTATCCCGCTTCCATTCACTATGCCCAAAAGTAATCGGCCAGCGACCTCGGGTTACGCCCGCTTGGCTCAAGAGGAGGAGGATAGAGCCAATGACCTGTACGATTATTCCGACGATGACGACCTACACGCCCCCAACACGATTTCCCAGTCCGCCCCCCGATATGCTCCCATCTCCTCCCGAGCCCAGATGCAGGCCGCCGGCCTGTCCACGCCTCCCGAACACCGTCGACGACTGAGTGGCCACTATCGCCGAGGACGGAGGAATTCCGGGGTCGACATCAAGGCCATCAATGCCCGTCTCGAACGGTGGGCGGAGGAGATCGCCTCGAAGTTTAAGATCAACCGTGTTAAGGGCAAGACCTTCGAAGAGGAGAAGCTGGAGATCTATCACTCTGTTTTCCAGGCTCCCGACGGCGTTCGGCCCATCTCTGCGGAAGCCCTCGAGTCAGATGAGATCGAGGGGGCTGCGCGCAGAGCCCGGGACGAGTTCGAAGAAGTCGTGGAGAGTGTCCGGATAGCCATTGAGATGGGTGTCCATCCGAGGATGATCTCTCAAGGAAGCTCTGGTAGTTACTTTGCGCGCAATGCCGAGGGTAAAGTTGTGGGAGTATTCAAGCCCAAGGATGAGGAACCATATGCATCCCGCAACCCGAAGTGGACCAAATGGATCCACCGAAACTTGTTCCCCTGCTTCTTTGGCCGGGCATGCCTGATTCCTAACCTGTCGTATGTCTCGGAAGCTGCGGCGTACGTTCTCGACTCGCGTCTTCACACGAACCTCGTCCCCTACACCGACATTGTTTGGCTGTCTTCGAAATCCTTCTTCTACGATTTCTGGGACCGCAGGAAGGCTTGGATGGGCAAGAGGCCGCTTCCTCCAAAAGCAGGCAGTTTCCAGGTCTTTCTGAAGGGCTACAAGGATGCGAACCTCTTCCTGCGAGACCACCCTTGGCCAGATCAGACTAATACTGGTTTCCGAGCGGAGGATGCCCCGAAGCGCAAGAAGCGGCCGTGGAGTGAAGCTTGCCGTCCCTCCGGCGTCCATTCCGATGACGAGGACGAAGAAGAATATGAAGACGGTCAGGCGCGCACGCCATCCCCCCGCGAGGAAAGCCGAGAACGGCGGTTCTACTGGACGGAAGGGTTGAAGCAGTCGTTCCGGGAAGAATTGGAGAAACTTGTGATTCTCGACTATATCATGCGGAACACAGATCGTGGATTGGATAATTGGATGATCAAGATCGATTGGAAGACTGAAGAGGTTTCCATTGTCGCTGACCCGCCCAAGCCCAATGGAGTTCAAACACAAGAGGATGATGAAGACATGCCGCCTGCTCGTCCCGTTTCTGTCAACTCCAACGGAACGAGTGCAGCTCAGCATCCTTATCGGCGACGTGAAGCAATGGTAGCCGTTAGCCGTACTGGGACCCCATTGAACGCAACCGACCCCCAGGTGACCGTTCAGATCGGAGCCATTGACAACAGCTTGTCGTGGCCGTGGAAGCATCCCGATGCCGTAAGTCCACCGTCTTGAACTCAACGCGATGTCGCAAACCTTGCTAACCTGTCATAGTGGCGAAGCTTCCCGTTCGGCTGGCTGTTCCTGCCGGTTTCTTTAATCGGTCAGCCGTTCTCGCAGAAAACTCGCGACCATTTTCTGCCCCTTCTTACCTCGACGGCCTGGTGGAGCGGGACTCAAATGGCCCTCCGGCGGGTATTTTCGCAGGATTCCGATTTCAAAGAGAGCATGTTTGCTCGACAGATTGCGGTCATGAAGGGACAAGCCTGGAACGTAGTGGAAACGCTGAAGCACCCCGATCATGGTCCGCTGGAGTTGACACGACGGACGCGTGTGTGCGTCTGGGATGACTTGGTGGATGTTCCAGTCGCGATCCCCCTTCGCGGGCCGTCCACTGATGCGCAGAAACGGAAGGTGAAGAGCTATGAACATTACGATAAACACGCCAGCTACGATCCCGACAACGAGGAGATGGACATTGGCGCCGCCATGTCCTTTGGTACTGGCCCTGACGTTGACCTGCTGGGGTTGAGTTCTCCTCCAAATGAGCTACCTAATCCGAACCGATTCGAGCTCTCCCGCGGGCGCGGGTCCAGCTCGGGACATGCCCGGGCCCAGTCTGGCAGCCCTGCTACGATGGGCGACTACCGATTTGGGCGCGACAGCATTGACGAGCTGAGCCAGGGACAAGGCCTGGACCGAAGCTGGGCGACACTCCCTCCCCGCCCGGGCCACCGGCACCAGAAGCACAGTTCGGTGTCCAATGCGCGCGGGCAGGCGCATTTGATCTGGAGCAGCGACGACCTGGAAGGCGACCTGGGATATGCTGCCGCAGAGGGAATGGAAGGCAACCAGCGCAAGGTGATTGTCGAGCGACTAGAAGCAGTTAAGAGCAAGAACCCGGTGTTTACCTGGTGTTAACCCGGTTGTTTGCTTGCGATCAGTCAGGATCTGCTCTCTATCGGCGCAGATCTCATCTCATCTTTCCATTCTTCTTCACATTCTTCTTCTCTTCTTTTATTTAGCGTGTATCATGATAACCTGGCATGAGGAGTTCTTTTGCAGGGTCTGGTCCTTGTTGGAAAAATCTTGATGGTTTAGTCATAGAAATGGAAGTTGATCTTCGCGAGGGATTTTTGGGCGGTTGCCTCCTTGTCTGTCTACCTTATACATAATACACCAGTATATAGTTTTTGGAAGTACATTTAGAATTCTAATACGAAGTCAGCGATGATGTAAGAGTGCTTTAATTTTCGGGAGAGTCAAACCTCTTATTACACTAGTAGTTATATAGAGACCTAGATACTGATATGAGACGGATATCAGCAGGTGAAAAGTGGGCACTGAAACAGCGCCGACCGAGGAAGACCCGCAATCTTATCATGTATCGGTGGTTCCTCGTCACGGTCAAGCAACTAGATTGATACTTCCTGCTAATCATCTAGTTACTCTCTCTTCTTTCCTCTGTCATTCCTCACTTTACCATCATAACTGGCTTGCTTCTTTCGGCGCTTCCTCTTGCCCGGCCGATCATTTCATCCTGGCCGTAAGATGGAAGAGATCTGAGCTCCCCCTCACACACTCTCTCACTTGACGCTCATCCCTACGCCGCCACCACCAAGGCTACCACCACTACCACCACCAACTAACCGGACTGCCGCCCTCCGAGTAACTCTCTCTCTCTCTCTCTCTGTTGGATGCTCAGCCCAGCCTCTCCCTCCACCTGCAGCAGGCAATCCCGACTTTCTTTCGAACCGATCTAGATGTCCCTCCCAGTCTCCCCGCCATCGTCTCATCCGATCCGTGATCAGTCACTGGGCCTAACACTCTACGTCGCACGCGTGTCTCGGGCACCTGCATCCAGTATCGAATCATGGCTTCCCACGCCGCCATGCTCCTGGACCCGCGGGCCTACAAGAAACAGCTTCAACAGCAGCAGCAGAAAAACAATGGTAAATCCCCGGATCCCACTCGAACCCCATCGGATCGCTGGAGCGATGGACCCAGTGACCATCACCAAGAGGACCATCACCACAACCGTCAATACTCCTTGCCTGCCTCGCTGCGTTGCCCCTCCCCTCCAGATGACCCCATCGACTTAGACGCCAACGAAAACTCACTTTCTCTTCTAGTAGGAACAAGCGCCCAACAGGATCCGTCGTCCTCGCCTCAGCGCACTGTCGTTGCGCCGCCCGCGGGTACCGCCTCCGCAGCGCAGCGGCTTCTAAGTCCCCGGCGCCGTCAGCCGTCGCAACGGGCGAGCCCCAGGTCAAAGTCCAGATCGCAGTCACTATCTACGAGGTCGCCGAGTACCCGCGATACGGGGAGTTCGTCGCCGCAGCAGCAGGAGGCGAGTTTGGAACCCGCGCTGGATGTGGAGTTTGCTAGTGCTCAGTTCGAAGAGCGGACGGACGGGAAACGGTCTTCGGAACAGATGGATGAAACGCGCCACGGGAGTTTAATTGAGAATATGTACGGGGTGGAGGGGCGTTCGAGCCAGCTATATAAGAGGGTCAAAGTAGAAGAGAATGGGCCACGGTCTGTGAACCACAAGTTCACAGGCGTGGGGAGTACGGGCTTGGGCAATTGGATGAAGGATGGTCGTTCAAATTCGAATTCCCCGGCCGTGCTGCCTGATGTTGTTGACTTGACTACTGGTAGGATGATGGATATGTGGGTTGAAATAATATGCTGACTCTATATTAGATGCGTCAGGGCCAGCGACGGATGACGACGATGTGCAGGTCACCGGCTCAAATGACCTCAGTCTTCAGCGGGTCTGCTATGGAAAGATTGAGAATGCTACGATTCAGGCGCAGTTGGTACCTAAGCCTTCGTCACAGACTATCTTTGGCGACTCCACGCATGACTGGCCTTCCATGAAGCTAGGCGTGCATCGACAACCGGGCCAGAACAACCGGATCGAAGTGTCAGACCCCAACGGAAAGATATTCGGGACGGTTGATGCGAAAACAGCGTCGGTCGTCGTTCCGCTCCTCGATTCGCCGGCTCTGAAGGTAAATATCACCGCCCGTTTGGACGTCCGGAGGAGAAAGGACGACGAGTGGCCCTGGGCGCCTTGTTCATATGCATACCGAGCGTCCGTCAATCTGTATGGTCTGAGGAAGGATGCGGAGCTTGTGGGGAAACATCTGGGTCAGCATAATGTCTGGCTGGGGACGCCATTTTCGGTGGAACAGGGCGTTCCTGTGCACAATCCACATGCAGAGAGGCGACGGGCTCAAGCGGCGATGCTGCCTGCGGCAGCTGCGAGGGGCCGGGTGGGAGTCAACTATGAAGTGCGAACAGCCGAAGAAGTAAACGACGCCGTGATGAAAATGTTCGATCAGCTGCAGAGCGCCGACAATTTGCCCGAAATGGACCCTCCGTCTTCTTTGAACACGCCGTTGCTTCGGCATCAGAAGCAGGCACTTTGGTTCATGACAGAGAAGGAAAAGCCACGCAGGTTTGGGCCCAAGGAGGCGGACAATAACTCGCTCTGGCGGGTGGTTTATCGCCAGAATGGCAAGAGGCGGTACCGTGAAATCATAAGCGGGATGGTGCTAGATGAAGAGCCTCCACAGAGTCTGGGAGGACTGCTGGCGGACATGATGGGGCTGGGTAAGACCCTGAGCATTCTCTCCCTAGTTCTGTCTTCCCTGAAGGAGGCCAACCAGTGGGCGGATCTAATCCCCGATCCCGAGCTTGTCCGCAGCTTGCCGGGCATCCGCAATACCAAGACGACGCTGCTGGTGGCACCTCTCAGCGCTGTCAACAACTGGTCCAATCAGATCAAGGAGCATCTGAAGGAAAATGCGCTTTCGTCCTATGTTTTCCATGGACCGACCCGGACCAATGACGTGGAAGAATTGTCCAAATATGACCTTGTGATCACCACGTACAGCATCGTCCTTAGTGAGCTGTCTGGACGAGGAGCAAAGCGGGGCGTCAGCCCTTTGACCAAGATGAACATGTTCCGCATTGTGTTGGATGAAGCGCACACGATCCGCGAACAGAGTGCAGCGCAGACTCAGGCCATCTTCAAGCTCAATTCCCAGCGGCGATGGTCCGTGACCGGAACGCCCATCCAGAATCGCCTCGAAGATCTCCTCTCGGTCACCAAGTTCCTGGGGCTCTTCCCTTATGACGACCGAGGGCGGTTCGGAATACACATCCTCAGTCGCTTCAAAACGGGCGATGCATCAGTGCTGGCCAGCTTGCGGGTGCTGGTAGATTCGTTCACGCTCCGCCGGGTGAAGGACAAGATTGATCTTCCGGCACGGCACGATAAGATCATCGTGCTCAACTTTACGGAGAAGGAACAACAGCTGCACGAGTTCTTCCGCAAGGAGTCCAACGTCATGATGCGGGTGATTGCCGGTGAAGAGCAGTCCAAGATGAAAGGTCGCATGTACCACCACATCCTCAAGGCGATGATGATCCTCCGACAGATCAGCGCGCACGGCAAGGAACTGCTCGAGCCAGACGACCGCAAGCGCATCAAGGGCATGAGCGTGCACGACGCAATCGATCTCGAAGAAGGCGCAGGCGACGCTGCCGGAGCCACCGACAAAAAGGCTTACGAAATGTTTACACTCATGCAGGAGACTTCCGCAGACACATGCGCTGTATGCGGGAAGCGCCTGGAGGAGCCAAGCTCCGATAATGGCACGACCGACAGGCAAACAGCCATGGCGATTCTGCTGCCGTGCTTCGATGTCCTGTGTCCAGACTGTTTTTCGGGGTGGAAACCCGCTTTCGACCGTCCGGTGGGCTCGGCGCACGATATCAAATGCCAGGTGTGTGATGGCTGGATGCCAGCCTCGTATTCCACGATCACGGTAGGTGGACTGCAGGACTACCTGGTGGATCAGGCGCAAGCCAAACAGAGCCGACGACACGGCAAGACGTTAGGGGAGTACGAGGGACCACACACGAAGACCAAGGCGCTGGTGGCGCAGCTCCTGGAAACAGCCGAGGAGAGTAAGAGCCAAGGGCCCGGGGAGCGGCCGATCAAAAGCGTGGTGTTCTCGGCGTGGACGTCGCACCTGGACTTGATTGAGATTGCGCTGCGCGACAACGACATCAACGGGTTCGCACGGCTCGATGGGACGATGAGTCTGGCAGCGCGAAGCAAGGCGCTGGAGGAGTTTCACAGTAACCCGGACATCACGGTGCTCCTGGCGACGATCGGGGCCGGCGGCGTGGGTCTGAACTTGACAGCGGCGTCCAAGGTGTATATAATGGAGCCGCAGTACAATCCAGCGGCAGTGGCGCAGGCCGTGGACCGCGTACATCGCATCGGGCAGACGCGCGAAGTGACGACAGTACAGTTCTTGATGAAGGGCAGTATTGAGGAAAAGATCTTCGAGCTAGCGAAGAAGAAGCAGCAGCTGGCAGATTTGAGTTTGAACAGGGGGAAGCTGGACAAGAAGGAGGTGCAAGAGCGTCGCATGCGCGAATACCGGAGTTTATTCAAGTGATGGTGATATACCGATGATTCCTTTATTCCCTGGTGAAGCACCATATTCACTAGAAGGAGATGCTGCGCTCATACTGATAATACTGGTTTGATACCCGAGAGGCGTTTGGTTGATTTATTGCATTCCTGGATTTTTTTTTTCACCCTCATTTCATGCATCTGGATTTGTTTTCCACCCATCATTCATTTAATCTCATTGATCTATCTCCTTTTTGCTATGTGATTAATTCCGTGATACACGATAGAGGAGAACGGAGGTAAGGAAAGGAAAGGAAAGGAAGAGAGAAAGACAAAGAAAGCTAAGCTAGCTAAGCTAAGCTAATTAGAAGACGCAAGTCAACTCCATACTCCATCATATCCAGCCAACAAAACAAGACATCAGTGACTTAGTGATATCATATATCATATAAATCTAACCCCTAGAATAAATCCCCCTCTCCACCACCCCCAAAACCCCCTCCAACCTCCTCCTCAACGCCCCCAACTCCCTCCGCCTCTCCTCCCTCACCCCCTCCACAACCCTCAACTCCCCCTCCAGTTCCCGAATCCTTCTCTCCTGCTCCGCCTCACTACTATCTATCCCGGGCAACACACTAATCAAGTATTCGATCTGCTGCTCCTTAATCACCAAATCCCGCGCCAACTCCCTCTGCCGCGCAGCAAACGTAGCGGGACTATCCGGCGCAGGTAACCCTTCTGCTGTCCCATCTGCGTTTTGCTGCTGTTGGTTGTCTGCATTCTGTCCCTGGCCCGGGGGGTTGGTACTGTCGGGTGGTGGCGGCGACGCTTGCGATTGGGATTGTGCTGCTTGGGGCGCGGACGCGGGCACCGGGGGTGTTGATGCGTTCTTGGGGATTTTTGCGAGGAGGGGTGCGGCGCTCGGCGTTGTGGTTGTCGGGGGTGGCGTCGCGGGGATGTTGTCGTGGTAGGTTGTGAGGTAGCAGAGGGTTGCGTAGAATTGGGTTGCGAGCTGTTGTTAAGTTGGGTTGGGTTAGTTGGGTGTGGATTGAGGTGGTGGGATGGGAATGGGGTGGTTGTACCTGGTCCAGGCAGGTTTGGAGTTGCGTGAGGATGTCTGCCATTGTGTTTATTCTTTTCCCTCGTCTATTTCTTTTTGGTTTGTTGTGGGTGTAGTGTAGTTAGAGTAGTGTAGTTGATGAGAATTGTAGAGACGGTGGTGACGGTAATGGTGGAGTGTGAAGAAGTGAATTGAGAGAGCTAAGCTAATCTCCGCTCCCCGATAAGTTTGATTCCGCCCGATAAACCCCAAATTTAAAGTATTTCTCCAACTTCTATTCTTCTCCTCTCCAGGTACGTCTATCCCCATCTCCTCCGCCATATATTTCGGTAAATACTAACACTAAATTAACCGCAGGATACATAGATATTCAATGCATATCTACAGCCTCTTATTATAAGAATAATGACAACACTATCCCCCCTAACCCGCCGTCTCTACAAACTCCCCCACCCCCCAATCCCCCCATCCTCATCATCCCACACCACACTCCCCTCCTTCCTCGCCCACGCCTCACGCACCTCCCTCCCTCCCACAAGCACAACCTACATCGGCACCCACTACGAATACACCATCCAATCCACCCTCCGCTCCTCCGCGCTCCTCCTCCACCGCACCGGCGGCCGCTCCGACGCCGGCACAGACCTCGTCGGAACCTGGCACCTCCCCGCACACGAACACCCGCCGCGCGTGCTCGTACAATGCAAAGCGCTCAAGACGAAACTCGGGCCTAATATCGTTCGCGAACTCGAGGGCACGTTCGCATCGGCGCCGGTGGGATGGCGCGGGACCGGCGTCATCGGGATGCTGGTTAGCCCGAGGGAGGCGACGAGGGGCGTGCGGGAAGCGCTGACTAGGAGTCGGTTTCCGTTGGTTTGGTGTCTTGTTGGGTTGGAGGGGAGGGTGAGGCAGGTACTTTGGAATGAGAGGGTCGAGGGGGTGGTTGGGGATGGGTTAGGGGTTGGGGTTGTCTATCGTGCTGATGCTGGTGAGCAGGATGCGGAGGCGAGGGTGACATGGGATGGGGAGGATGTTCCGGGGGTGGATGCGGTGGTGGAGAGGATGGAGGTTATGCAGAGGAGGTGGTTTGAGTTGTGGGGTGTTGGGGAAGAGAGGTGGGAGGAGGTGCTGGGGGTCGTGGAACGGTTGTTTCCGTTTGAGAAGCCGTTGTTGTATGCTAGGGATGGGAGGGTGAGTGGGTTGAGTGAGGAGGAGAGGGAGGTTGTGATGGGGGAGTTGAGGAGATGTCAGTCTACTACGTGAGTATAGAGCATAGTTTAATGTATAGAATGTAATAGTAGTTATAGTATTGTCATATCAAGCCAGGGTATATCCGTAAACGCCGTCCAAACTGTCCATCTCACCAAGCACATCTATCCCTGCATCGTCGACCAGAAGTAGTTCGAGTAGAAGAACCGTGAGAACTTCGGGTCAATGTTCACCACATGCACATCGCCCTTGCGACTATTGCGGATCACCGCCTTGGTGAAGTTGCCCGCGTCGTCGGCCTCGATGTCCACTCCTAGGGACCGGTAGATTTTCAATCGCAGCCTAGGAGAAAGTCAGTCGCCGTATACTCCGTATGAGACAGGTGGAATGTACTCACAGCGTCGCATCATCCATCTCACGCTCCCGGCGCGTCGGTTCATCACCTTCCAACCCCTGCGCTTCCAGATCGGCCAGGCGCTCCTTCAACATCTCCAGCTCGCCCTCTAGCCGCTCACTCTCAATCTCCAGCTCGGTAGCTGACTTGGCAATCCGGAATTTCTTCGTGTCCAGCTCGACCATCTCCGCGGCGTGCTTGCCGGAGTCATGCGCCGTCACGGCCTCCTCATGTTGGGCCGTCAGGGCGGACAGGTGCCGGGAGAGCTTGCGCAGAGCTGATTCAGCTTCGCGCGTGCGCAGCTCACGCGATTGCTGTAGCGCGGCGAGCGAGTCATTGATGCGGGTGACGGCTTGTTTATCGGGGTGGATGTTGAAGTTGCCGATGGTGTGGTTGATGAGCTGGAGAGTCAGCAATAAGCATAATTAAGGGGGTGAAAGGGACTTACACCAGCGGGATTCTCGTCGAGGAGCATGATGACGGTAAATTGGGGCCTATATACGTTGTAATGTTCGATATCAACCTCGTAGTTCTGATAGCAATGGCAGCAAATACACTCCGGAAGTGGAGAGATGTTTGTTGTTGGAGCAACCGCCACCGCCGCACGCACCGCCACAGCGCGTGACGCCAGGCAGCCCCGGCCATGATTCCGAATCTTCTCTTGTCGCTGTCGGCCAAAAGTCTTCGTCTTCCCACCAGATTCATCGTTATTTCTTCAGAATGGGCTCTAATCTTCCTTGTGAGTATTTCTCTCCCCGTTGGTGCTGGTCCCTCCCCCTCCGCTAACTGCCTGCTTGCAGATGCCGCCGATGCTGAGAGGTCAGCGCTTTCCCCCCATCGAATACTCTACCAATATTCCAGAAACCAGCGAAGCTAACCGGTGCACAGTCCGCTAAAGCCAGCGGAACTTCAGGTGCTCCGCGCCCAGTATGAGAAGGAAGGTGACTACGTAGGAATTCAGACCAAGTTCAACTACGCCTGGGTAGGGACCGGCAGATATCCCGATACAAGTCCATTCGGCTGACGACATGTATAGGGTCTGATCAAATCCAACGCCCGAGTCGAACAACAGGAGGGTGTCCGTCTGCTGTCGGAGATCTTCCGCGCTGCGCCTGAACGACGTCGCGAATGTCTGTACTACCTCGCGCTGGGCAACTACAAGCTCGGTAATTACGGCGAAGCCCGTCGGTACAACGATCTACTGCGTGATAAGGAACCCGGGAACCTGCAGGCCGCTAGTCTAGGCCAGCTCATTGATGAAAAAGTGTCCAAGGAGGGCTTGATGGGTATTGCCATCGTGGGTGGGCTGGCGCTGGCGGCCGGCGTAGTGGGTGGATTGGTGATGCGGGGGGCAAAGAGACGCTGAGGGATGGCAGAGACTGTGAATTGATTGTTCTGGGTGCATGAGTGTAAATAAGGCTGTTCGGGTGTTTTTATTCTTGCATTGGGGCGTTCTGACAAGCAAGATTGGATGCGTGATTAATGTTAATGGATGCTATCACTACTACTACTGCTGCTGCTGCTGCTTTATCTTCAGCTGCGCCACAGGTGGCTAACGTCATCCCGAGTCGCTTCTTCTTTCCTGCTTTTCTCTTTCTTTCCTCCATCTTCTCTCCAATCTTTCTCTTGCTGTCATCTGATGTCGGTATCTTTCTGATATCTAACATATCTACCCGTCGGATGATTCCCATGCTTTAAGTCTTTGTCCCCGTCACGCCCGTGGCCCTTGTGGATGAACGAATGCGTGCCCAACGAGCCATGAATGACGCTGCATTGCGCTGCTCTCGAACTGTCAACCACCATCACCGCAACATCCCTTCTGCTTGATTGATTCGTCAGATCTTGTCTCCTGCACCACCATCTGACTAGTGTCTACGGTGACAACCTTCCACCCCACCTTTCTCTTGTCCCCCTCTCATCCACGCCTCGTTTCGCCGTTGGATTCCGGATCGCCATGGCCGACGTGGGGGACCGCATGTTCTGCCATGCTTGTGGCGGCGTCTGGCTGCGCGAAGCTCAGGGCATGATCTGTCCGCACTGCGAGTCAGACTTTACTGAAATTGTACGATCTCTTCCGCTATCATTTCCATTCAACCCTATCTGACCATCCCCAGATTGAAATCCCGCCAGATCCCGACGCCGAGCCCCCGCCCTCATTCCACCGACCCCCCTCGCCCCCCGCCGCGGCCAACGCCCGCTCCCCGAACCCATGGGCAGACCACAACCCCTGGGCTCACCAGGAGGAAGATGATGATCTCGATCACGGCTGGGGTCCCGGTCATGGGAATGGATTCACCCATCGCACATATCGGTCCCCGGACGGCCGTTTCACCTTCTCCACCACCACCTATACCCATGGCCTCCGAGGGGGGTCACCTCCGACCCAACAGCGACAGGCAAACCCCGACCCACTAATGCCGATGGTGCAGGGTCTAGATAGCATCTTCCATGGTCTCGCAAGCACCTACCGGCAGCAAAATCGCCCAGGTGGCCAAGCTCAAGCTTCAGGCACAGATCGCGACCGCGGGAGGACACTGGGATCTTTTGCATTTGACATCGAGGCGGAGGGCCGGACCGGCACGCAGGACGGCGGTCTGCACCCGCGAGATGCGGATGGTCCGCAACCGGTGAATAATCCTCTGCGGACTCTGGGCGAGTAGGTGCTGCCG